ACCTCTGCCTCCTGAGCTCAAGTGATCCCTTCGCCAGCCTCCCTCTCGAGTAGCTGGGATGACAGGCCACGCGACACCATGTCTGGCTAATTTTTTATTTTTTATAGAGAGACACCCGTCGCCATGTTACTCACGCTGGTCTTGAACTCCGGGACTCAAGTGATCCTCCTGCCTTGGTCTCCCAAAGTCCCGCAATTCAGGTGAGCCGTGCCTGGCCACAGGTGCTATTTGTATCCCCATTTTATGGAGGAGGAGAATGAATTTAAAGAAGAAAAGAATTTGCCCAGCTACCAATGGTAGTTGAAAGAGGCTGGGATTTAAACCTGCACCCCAGTAACCAGGATGTCCTGCCTCTCATAAAAGCCCGCCAGGTCCCACTCTCCCTGAGTCAGACTGTCATCCCTACCCCTGCCCAGCCTGCCCAAGAAGAGGGCTGCCTGTGAGAGGCATGCCCCAGGCCACTGGGGGTTCCTTACCCATTTGTCGGTGTTGTTGATGAAAGTGGAGACCTGCTCAAGGTATTCCTTGTCATGAACCACAATAGGCTCAGGATGATTTGATCTCCTGAGGTAGAAGATGGTGTTGAGAAAGGTAACCAGTTGATAGGCGGGTGCCAAGGTCTGCACAAGGGAAAAGGACAATGTGACCCTGTGGGGCTGCTTCTCCTCATAGCCCAGGTCTCCAGAACGGGCTTCTACAGGAGAAGCAAAGGGAGACAGCTTGGGCTTGGCGCCATCTGACAGTGCACTGGGCAGAGAGTCAAGCAGAGCCTGGCGGACTTTTATCAGAGATGCTGTAGGTAGAATTCTAAGGAGTCCAACACCAAAATTTAACTCGAAATGGAACGAGGATGGAATGAGAAGATGCAGCAGCTACCGCTACCATTCAGCAAGTGTCTCCTGTGTGCCATGGATGAAGAAGGGCTGAGCTTCAGACAGGCCTGGGGGCAGTTAGGCATGTAGAATCTGCAGCCAACTGCCTGGGCTCATCTTCCTAGCTCTCTTCCTTGCTAGCTGTGTAGCAACCTGGGTAAGTTAATATTAGACAACTTTCTGGGCCTCAGTATCTTGTGAAAATTGGGGATCACCATAATAACAGAACCACTTCACTGGGTCATTTGTGAGGACGAACAAACATACTCTGTCTATTCAACATGTGGGCTTCTGTAACATCAGTGAGCTTCCACATAGATTAGTAAATTCAGGATGACGGCGGGATAACGTGAGCTGCATTGGTCTGAAGGTGATGTTTCTCAGGCATGGGATTGGGAAGGGTTGAGCGTAACCTTCAGTAAGAAAGGAAAAGCCCTCAGCTCAGCTCCAGTGCACAGCAGGCTGGTCAGCTCTACCTTTTCTTTTCTTTTTTTGAGACAGGAGTCTCACTCTGTCGCCAGAGCTGGAGTGCAGTGGCACGATCTCGGCTCACTGCAAGCTCCACCTCCCGGGTTCACGCCATTCTCCTGCCTCAGCCTCTGAGTAGCTGGGACTACAGGTGCCCACCACCATGCCCGTGAATTTTTAATATTTTTAGTAGAGATGAGGTTTCTTACACCATGTTCAGCCAGGACAGTCTCAGTCTCCTGACCTCTCGTGATCTGCCCGTCTCAGCCTCCCAAAGTGCTGAGGCTGGGATTACAGGTGTGAGTCACTGCGCCCAGCCTACCTTTTTTTTTTTTTCTTTGAGACAGAGTCTGTCTCTTTCGTCAGGCTGGAGTGCTGTGGTGTCATCTCAGCTCACTGTAACCTCTGCCTCCAGAGTTCAAATGATTCTCCTGTTTCAGCTTCCTAAGTAGCTGGAATTACAATAGGCACCCACCACCATGCCTGCTTAATTTTTGTATTGTTAAGTAGAGACAGGGTTGCCATGTTGGCCAGGCTGGTCTTGAACTACTGACCTCAAGTGTTACCTGCCTTAGCCTCCCAAAGTGCTGGGATTACAGGCATGAGCCACCGCGCCCAGCCTAGTCCGCTCTTTTAGATGACTGAGAAATAAGCCCTTGCGCCTGGGGCTACTTCTCTCCTCACAAGCTCCTTTAGCCCTGTAACTCTCAGCCTCAGCAGGTTGCACTTTCTGTGACCTAAAGGCGCTTGCTCAGAGCTCCTGTCTTTTTTTGAGACGGAGTCTCACTCATGCCAGGCTGGGCTGGTGGCACCGTCAGCTCCACCGCAACCTCTGCCTCCTGGGTTCAAGAGATTCTCCTGCCTCAGCCTCCTGAGTAGCTGGGATTACAGGCACGTGCCACCATGCCTGGCTAATTTTTGTATTTTTAGTAGAGACGGGGTTTCATCATATTGGTCAAGCTGGTCTCAAACTCCTGACTTCATGTTCCACCTGCCTTGGCCTTCCAAAGTGCTGGGATTACCAGCACTTTGAGCCACTGTGCTAGGCCAGAGCTCCCTGTCTTATCTGCAGGGTCTTGGTGTCCACAGCTAGCACTTCCCAGCTGGCACTTTCCCCAGGCAGCCTCAGCCACGCTGAGAGGTACTCCTTAAAGGTTCAATTATTGTTTTGTTAGGATTCTGGTTACAAGGGTTACAACTTAAAAAAAAAAATTGTGGTACACTTTGGAAGGCGGAGGCCAGTGGATCACCTGTGTGAATGAACCAATGCCTAGACTGTGTTTTTTTTTTCTGAGGCAGGGTTTCACTCTGTAGCCAGGCTGAAGTGTGATGGTGTAATTTCCAGCTCACTGCAGCCTTGACCTCCCAGGCTCAAGCAATTCTCCCACCTGGGACTGCAGGCACAGGCCCCCTTTGTGAGTTTTGATTTTTGTAAAGATGGGAGTCTTGCCATGTTGTCCATGCTGGTCTTGGGCTCCTGAACCAGCGGTGCAGTCTGCCACCTCAAATCTCCCAAAGTGCCACAGAGGTTATAGGCATGAACCAATGCATCTGGCCTTGAACTGTGCTCTTGACATGGTGAAGATAGTGAATTTTATGTATTATATGTGTTTTAACTTACAATTTTTTTTTGAGATGGAATCTCCACTCTGTTTGTAGCTGGAGTGCAGAGTGGCGTGATCTGGGCTCACTGCAACCTCCTCCTCCTGGGTTCAAGCGATTCTCCTGTCCCAGCCTCCCAAGTGGCCAGGAGAAGGCTACAGGCCTACGCCACCACCCTTGGCTAATTTTTTCTTTAATTTATTTTTAGTAAGATAGGGTTTCACCATATTGTTCTCAGGCTGGTCTCAAACTCCTGATTCTGTTGATCCACCTGTCTAGACCTCCCAAAGTGAGATTCAAACAGGCCTGTGTCTGTGGCCCCTAGTTTCATCTTACAAATAGAAGCTCATTAGCATGCACTTTACAGCCAGCACCCCCACCCTGGAAAGTACCATTCTACTTTTTCTGTCTCTGTAGAACTTTCTCTGTTCAACGAGAGGCTGAGGCAGGAGAATCGCTTGAACCCAGGAGGTGGAGGCTGTGGTGAGTCGAGATCACGTCATTGCACTCCAGCCTGGGCAATGAGAATGAAACTCTGTTTCAGAAAAAAAAAACAATTGAAAATAGGGTCACTGCTGATGTAATTAGCTAAAATGAGGTTATTATGGTTGGCCCTAATCTGACTGGTGTCTTCATAAAAGGGGGAAATTTGGACAGAGACAGGCGCGCCTGCAGGGAGAACACCATATGAAGATGAAGGCAGAGGCCCGGGTGATGCTTCTACAAGCCAAGGAGCACCAACAGTTGCCAGAAGCTAGGAGAGCCTGGAACCGAGTCTTCCTCACAGCCCTCAGGAGTCAATGTTGCTAACACCTCGATCTTGGACTTTGAGCCTCCAGAACTGGGAGCTATGCAAGCTCCCAAGTTTGTGGTACTTTGTTAGGGTGGCCCTAGCAAACTCATACACTCTGATAGAAGCCTGTGTGAGTTTCCTGATACTGACTGGGAGGTTAGGAAGGGCTTCCTAGAGGAAGAGATGCTGAGCTGGGGTTTCAAGGATGGGTAGTTTATCAGGCAAGAACATTCCAGGCAGAGTGAAGAACATACGCAAACCCCAGGAGGTACAGTGACCATCAGAGACTCTTCCTTGAACTTTTCTTTCCTTTTTTTTTTTGAGACAGAGTCTTGCTCTGTTGCCCAGGCTGGAGTGTAGTGGCACGATCTTGGCTCATTGCAACCTCTGCCTTCCAGGTTCAAGTGATTCTCCTGCCTCAGCCTCCTGAGTAGCTGGGACTACAGGCGTGCACCGCTGTGCCCAGCTAATTTTTGTATTTTTAGTAGAGACGGGGTTTCCCCATGGTCACCAGGCTGGTCTCGAACTCCTGACCTCAAGTGATCCACCCGTCTCAGCCTCCCAAAGTGCTGGGATTACAGGCGTGAGCCACTGTGCCTGGATTTTTCTTTTTTCTTTCTTTTTTTTTTTTTTTGAGATGGAGTCTCGCTCTGCTGCCCAGGCTGGAGTACAGTGGTGTGATCTCAGCTCACTGCAACCTCTGCCTCCCAGGTTCAAGTGATTCTCTCACTTCAGCCTCCCGAGTAGCTACGATTACAGGTGTGCACCATCACACCTGGCTAATTTTTGTATTTTTAGTAGAGCTGGGGTTTCACCACATTGGTCAGTCTGGTCTCAAACTCCTGACCTCAAGTGATCCACCTGCCTCGGCCTCCCAAAGTGCTGGGATTGCAGGCATGAGTCACCGCACCCGGCCCTCCTTGAACCTTTCTTTGATTTTCCCTACTGCCTGCCCTGCCCCAGCATCTGAGACCTGGAAACTCCCTTGCTCGAAGATAACAGAAAAATTATTTTTACCAGGAGACCTCTTGGATCCAGGTGGTGATGTGCATCATTCTCACCAGCAGGGGGTGATCACACAATTGTAGGTGAAGGAAGGGCGGCTGGGGGCACAGGTACTGAGCAACCTTCTGGCATCTGTCAGGGTCCAAGGTCCCTGCTCTCAGGGGCAAGTGCACCTAGCCCTGGAGAAGCTAGGGTGGGCAGCCCTGTGCCGGCCTCAGGACACACAGCACCCTGGGAGGACAGACACCCAGACACATGGCCCTCCTTACAAGTACTTTATTTCCATTACAATAGTGCCACACCAAAACTACAGTAGCACAAAACATAATACAAAAAATAGATTCCCAGCTCCCAACTCCATGTCCACGCACCCACAGAGAAGCCAGCCGTATGGCTCCCCAGGCCTAAGGGGAGGGGTCTCACTTCATCTTCCTTAAAGCTTTGGAGGGGGTAGTAGCAGTGGCAGGGGTTTCCACCCCTGTTGGGCCTGAGCCCTCTTCTTCCCCAACCCACTGCCGGCCCCGGCAGACCTGAGCCAGGAGTGTGGTCTCCATTCCCTCGGGCTGCACCCCCAGTCCTAGGACACCTGCCTCAGTCCAGGGGGTCCAGGCCCATGGTGCTGGTGCTGACACTGCAGGACCATCTCCACGTGGAAGGCAGGAGGGTCAGGGGAGGGGAGGCAGAGGGGACACCATGGCTGGGAGAAGCCCACCTCTATGTGGCAAGGGGACTACGGCCGCCTCCTACCCTAGTTCCTTCTCGGGTTCCTGTCTCCTCTGCAGAGCTACCAGGATTGCTGCGTGCTGGGACCAGGGCCTCCCTCTGGAATCCACTCTTGACACCCTGCACCAGCTCGGAGGCTGACCCCGAGGTGGCAGGCGTGTCCCTGTGCTGTCTGCTTCCTCTCAGGCAGGAGGATTCCGGCTTCCCGGGTGAGGGGAGCCCACTGTCCGGGCAGGGCTGGGTCAGGAGGCCTGGGCTGCTGAGGTGGAAAAGCGGTGGCTGTGGAGGGCACGTGCTGCCCCCGCCTCTGTCTTGGGGCCTGGCTTCCTCACTGGACGGCAGAGACCGCTCCAGGTGCTTCCACTTGGTGGAGCCTGTCAATCTGCTATTGGAGAAGCTGTGGTCTCAGGCAAGGGACAGACACCACCGGTCAGACTGGGTTGAGGAACCTTCCTCTCACAGTGTCCCCTGGCTAAAAGCATCCCTCAAAGGGGAGTCCATCCATCTAGCTACAAGGACTATCTTGATTCAACCCAGGGGCCAACAACGGACTGCCACCCAGGGTAAGCCCAGCAGTTCTGCAGTCTTCCGATGCCCCCTGCCGCGGGCCTGCAGGCCAGAGCTCCTGGGCTGCCGTGGGGGTTAGCCCTGCAGGCACCGGGGAAATGGGGCTACAGCCTGTGCTTCCGTCAGGACACCTGGGGGCTGCACTGAGGAGGCCAAGGAGCATCTAGGGGCAGGGGCTGTCTCCTTGGGGTGGAGACTGGTGGCTGCAGCCTCAGATAAGGCACTAGAGGACTGGACTGGTCCTGGGAGCCAGGCCCAGCCATGTGGTGGATGACGGTGCTTAGAGAGAGAAATAGGATTTGGGTCCTGCGGGAGGTGAGAGCTGTTTTCTCTTTTCTTTTTTTTTTTGAGACAGAGTCTCCCTCTGTCACCCAGGCTGGAGTGCAGTGGCGCAATCTCAGCTCACTGCAACCTCTGCCTCCTTGAGTTCAAGCGATTCTCTAGCCTCAGCCTCCCGAGTAACTGGGATTACAGGTGCCCGTCACCACACCCGGCTTATTTTTGTATTTTTTTTAGTAGAGATGGTGTTTCACCACATTGGCCAGGCTGGTCTCGAACTCCTGACCTCTGGTGATCCACCCACCTCGACCTCCCAAAGTGCTGGGATTACAGGAGTGAGCCACCGTACCCGGCCTATTTTCTCTTTTCTCCTTTCCCTGGGGAAGAGGTTGGCCAGACAGACCCTGGTGTGGCTGGGATGGGGGACTGCTGCAGAGAGGTAATGGGCCCCTGAGATAGACATGGGACAGCCTGAAAAGGTGGGACCGAGAGGGGACACCTGTGGCCAGCAGTGTATCTCTGATAGAGTCTCACCCTGCAGGGCTCCTGCAGTCTGGCTTCAGGGTGCTTGGTACGCCCAGATGATGTTTGAGGGTCCTGACCTGGCCTCATTCTGCCATAGCCATCAGTCCCCTGCTGTGGCTTTGGGGATCAGAACTTCCCTGCTAGGGCTCCCACTGTTGGACTCAGGGGACAGAGGCAGGCTAGCTGAAGGGGCAGTGCCCATGAGCTGGGACCTCCCAGAGCCGGCTCCTCCCTCTGCCTGGCCTCCACACCTCTACTGGTCTCCAAGCCTCTGCACGAGGTGACAGGAGCTGAAATCACACATCCCAAGAGCCGAGGCAGCTGTCTGATTTGGAGACTTGCTCTGTGGCCCAGGGATCCCTGCCTCAGCCTAGCCCCACAGGGAGTGGAGAAGAGGGATCCCTGCCTCAGCCTAGCCCCACAGGGAGTGGAGAAGAGGGATCCCTGCCTTAGCCCAGCTCCACAGGGAGTGGAGAAGAGGGATCCCTGCCTTAGCCCAGCTCCACAGGGAGTGGAGAAGAGGGATCCCTGCCTCAGCCCAGCTCCACAGGGAGTGGGGAAGAAAGGGGGTAAATCAGTGGGGCTTCCCTTGTCCACAGGTTATTTAGAAAAACAGAACATAATAAATATACCAATTCTTTCCTTAAAAAAAAAAAGTGTTTAAATGCGTTTTTCCCTGAAGATTTCCAGTGTATTCCACAATGTTTAAAAAATAGTTTCCCCAAAAATATATCTTGAAAGCATTTGACACAGTGGTATTTGTGGCGTATGTGGCGCTTGTCAGCATGGGGCCCAGGCCTGAGGAGCCACCCGCCCGACACCCGAATGCCCGCTGAAGGTGGCGCACGCGTGTGCCCGGATGTCCGGCTCTTCACAAGGGTCAGATGGTGGGTTCTGTTGAGAGCCGACACCATGGGCTCGGTTCCAGCCGAAAACCCTTCAGTGCGGGGAAGCAGGGCCCCGGGGGGCCAGGCGGGCTGAGCAATGCCCTGGAGGCTGGACGGGGGGGCTCGTCCTCAGCCCCTTCCCCTCCTCCGTCTTGGCTCTCTCCGCTTCGTCCTTACCAGACTTCGCATTTGTGAGGCGGGTTCATGGGTGAGCCAGGTGAGCAGTGGAAGTGTTCTGAGAACTCCTTGGAATTGGAGAGGGAGCCGATGACCCGGAAGCGAGAGGGGCTGTGGGGGTCGGTGATGAGGCCTTCGTGGGAGCTCTCAGGTGTGCGGACGGAGCACCAGACCTTTGAAGGGACAACAGAGAGAGGCCAGGGTCACTGCGGGGCCCTGGGGCTGCCAGACTGTCCCCATTACAACAGTAGGGGAGGCCAGGTGCAGTGGCTCACACCTGTAATCCCAGCACTCTGGGTGCCAAGGTGGGAGGGCTGCTTGAGCCCAGGAGTTCATGACCAGCTTGAGTAACATGGCAAGACCCCATCTCTACAAAAAATTAAAAAAAAAAAAAATTAACCAGGCATGGTGGTGTGCACTACAGTCCCAGCTCCTGGGAGGCTAAGGCAGGAGGATCACTGGAGCTGGGGAAGTCAAGGCCGCAGTGAGCTGAGATTGTGCCACTGCATTCCAGCCTGGGTGACAGAGTGAGATCCTGTCTCAAAAAACAAAATAAGGCTGGGTGTGGTGGCTCATGCCTATAATCCCAGCACTCTGAGAGGCCAAGGTGGGGTGAATCGTTTGAGGCCAGGAATTTGAGACCAGCCTGGCAAACATGGTGAAACCCTGGCTGTGCTAGAAATACAAAAATTAGCTGGGTGTGGTGATACGTCCTATAATCCCAGCTACACGGGAGGATGAGGCAGGAGAATCACTTGAACCCGGGAGGTTGACGTTACAGTGAGCTGAGATCATGCCATCGCACTCCAGGCTGGGCAACCGAGGGAGACTCCGGCTCCAAAAACACAAAATTCAGAAAAACACCACCGGGGGATGAGCCCCCGAACTGATCCTGAGATCCCGGTGAGTCAGGAGGACCCCCTGAGTGGGTCAGGAAGAGAAAGTGGGCTGGTGTAGGGCTGGTGTGTGCCACTCCCCAGGCCAGCAGCCTCTAACGCAGTTGTCTCCAAACTGTTCACCTTCAGCCAGCGCGGCATCTCTGTCTGAGGCACGCGCATTCGATTCCATCTGAACACAGGACTGCGTCCAAACACCAGTTGGAAAAGCTTGGATTTAGTCCAGATCTCTCGTTTCCTGGGCAGAACAAATTGTCTAATGGCCTGGTAGCTCTGAGTGCCAGCAGAAGGCTACCAGATGAATGCTGAGTGAAGGCATGATCTGGGGCATTTTTTTTTTTTTTTTTTGGAGACAGAATCTTGCTATGTTGCCCAGGCTGGAGTGCAGTGGCATGAACTTAGTTCACTGCAACCTCTGCCTCCAGGTTCAAGTGATTCTCATGCCTCAGACTCCTGAGTAGCTGGGACTACAGGCAGCCACCGCCACATCTGGCTATTTTTTTGGTATTTTTTCATAGAGACAGGGTTTCACTATGTTGACCAGGCTGGTCTCAAACTCCTGACCTCAGGTGATCCGCTTGCCTCAGCTGCCCAAAGTGCTGCGATTACAGGCGTGGGCTGCCATGCCTGGCTGGGCATCTTATGTTTAAGAAATCTCTAGAACCCTAGAACCAGAAGGGTCCTGAGTGATCAGCTCGTCCTCTCATTGACCAGATCCAGGAATCCCTTCACTGGTACTTTTGGCTCTTCTGTGCATCTCTCTAATGACAGGGCACATGTGCTGTGCATGGTCCAGTGACTTGGGAAGTCCTCAATCTGTGGGGAACTTGCCTTTCGGCTCTCTGGGCTCTTCAAACATCAAGATGGCAGAATGTACCATGTGTGGCATGTTTTCCTAATGGACTCACCTGTGCAAAGCCCAGGAAGAAGAGCTGGTTATTGGTGAGGCCCAGGGTGGGCAGCGTCTGCTCAGCCCCGTTCTTCTTCACCCAGTTCTGGTAAGCCTGGGAGGAGAGAAAACCAAAGCTCAGGGGTTCCCATGGCAGGTGGTGAAGGAGGGGACTGGTATGGAGGTCTCAGGGAGCTCCCCCATGTCAGGGCAGGTACTAGTTTCCGGGGATCTGGGCCTGAGCTCAGCCTAGGGGAGCCCTCTTCTTGATGTGCACTCATTTAGCCCTATGGCTTAAAATACCTTCTACGCACTGATGGCTCTCACATTTACGCCTTCTGCTCCAGCCTCTTCCCTGATGTGTATATTTAACTATGCCAGCTGGACAGTCAAGATGCATCTCAAACTTAACATGGTACAAACAGAATGGCAGCACGTGTGCACACACACACACACTTTCCCCATCATGGTCAAAGGTACCACCATCCATCATCTCAGGCCCCAAACCCAGAACGCTTCTTCAATTCTTCTCTTTCTCTCAGATCAAACACTGACCACTGCTCTGCTCCCGCTTCTCAGTGCTCTACTCTGTCTCCTGGCTGGACAACCTCACAACAGCTTTCTCATCAGTCTTCTGACTCAGGCTGATCCAATTCCATTCCCTTCCTGACAAAGTAACTTCAGTGAACCTTAGGAAGCAGGTGCTGGCAACCCTTCTCTGTGGACTGCCAGAGAGTGAGTACGTTGGGATTTGTGGGCTAAGGGTCGCCGTTGCAATGACTCAATTCTGCTACTACAGCAGTAAGGTCAGCCACATGGCCGGGCGCGGTGGCTCACGCCTGTAATCCCAGCACTTTGGGAGGCCGAGGCGGGTGGATCACTTGAGGTCTGGAGTTTGAGACCAGCCTGGGCAACATGGTGAAATCCCATCTCTACTAAAAATACAAAAATTAGCCGAGGCGCGGTGGCGTGTGCCTGTAATCCCAGCTACTCGGAAGGCTGAGGCAGGTGAATCACTTGAACCCAGAAGGCGGAGGTTGCAGTGAGCTGAGATCATGCCCCTGCACTCCAGCCTGGGTGACAGAGTGAGACTCTGTCTCAAAAAAAAAAAAAAAAAGCTACAGACATGGAAACAAATGGAGCCAGCTGTGACCCCCAAGAAACTTCATCTACAAAAACAGCCTCATAGCTAGATTTGGCCCATGGGCTGCAGTTATACTGACTTGTTTTTGTTTTTAGTTTTTTTTTTTTTTTGGAGACAGGGTATCACTGTCGCCCAGGCTGGAGTGCGTTGGCATAATCTTGGTTCTCTGCAACCTCCACCCCTCAGGCTCAAGTGATCCTCCCACCTCAGCCTCCTGAATAACTGGAATCACAGACGCACACCACCATGCTCAGCCAATTTTTTTGTATTTTTGGTAGAGACGGGGTTTCACCATGTTGCCCAGGCTGGTCTTGAAGTCGAGTTTGTGATCCACCTACCTCGGCCTCCCAAAGTGCTGGGATTACAGGTGTGAGCCATGGTGCCCAGCTGACTCTTGCTTAATTTTTATTTATTAATTTTTTTGAGACAGAGTCTCCCTTTGTCACCCAGGCTGGAGTGCAGTGGTACAATCTCGGCTCATTGCAACCTCCACCTCCCAGGCTCAAGCAATCCTCCTACCTCAGCCTCCTGAGTAACTGGAACCACAGATGCACACCACCATGCCACGCTAATTTTTTTGGATTTTTGGTAGAGACGGGGTTTGACCATGTTGCCCAGGCTGGTCTTGAAGTTGAGCTTGCGATCCACCTACCTCGGCCTCCCAAAGTGCTGGGATTACAGGTGTGAGCCACGGCGCCCAGCTGACTCTTGTTTTATTTTTATTTATTTATTTTTTTGAGATGGAGTCTTGGTCTCTCGCTCTGTTACCCAGGCTGGAGTGCAGTAGCACAATCTTGGCTCACTGCACCCTCTGCCTCCCGTGATTAAGTGATTCTCATGCCTCAGCCTCTCAAGTAGTTGGGATTACAGGCATGCGCCACCACACTTGGCTAATTTTTTTATATAAATATATACATATTTTTGAGATGGAGTCTTGCTCTGTCACCCAGGCTGGAGTGCAGTGGCGCGATCTTGGCTCACTGCAACCTCCGCCTCCAGGGTTCAAGCAATTGCCTGCTTTGGCCTCCTGAGTAGCTGGGATTACAGGCGCCCGCCACCACGGCTGGCTAATTTTTGTACTTTTAGTAGAGACGGGGTTTCACTACCTTGGGCAGGCTGGTCTTGAACTCCTGACATTGTAATCCACCCACCAAGGCCTCCCAAAGTGCTGGGATTACAGGCATGAGCCACCGTGCCCAGCCATTTTTATATTTTTAGTAGAGACAAGGTTTCACCATGTTGGCCAGGCCGGACTTGAACTCCTGGCCTCAAGTGATCCGCCCACCTCGGCCTCCCAAAGTGCTGGTATTACAGGCATGAGCCACTGCACCCAGCCGACCCCTGTTTTAAAGGATAAGTTGAGTCATGTCATTCCTCTATTTTAAAACCCTATTGTGTCTCTCTATCATAACTAGGACAAAACCCAAGCTCCTTCCTCAGCCACAGCCAACAAGCCCAGAGTGGTCTGGTCCCTGCATTCCCTGCGCTCTGCCCCGCCCATCTTCCCATCCTTGGACGTGCCAGGCTTGTGTCTAGTTCGTGGCCTCTGCACTTGCTCTTCCTTTTGCTGAGACCATTTTCCCCAGCTTCTCCCAGGCTCTTCCTCATCATGTAGGTCTCAATGCAAATGTCATAACCCCAGAGAAGGCCTGCCGTGGCCAGCGTCCCCCCGTTATTTCTCTTACCCCGTTATTGCTTATTACTTCGCTCCAGTTTATATTCATCGCCTTATCAATAGCTGACACTATCTTACAGATTTATTATGTATTTATTTGCCTTTCTTCCCCTTCCAGCCTCCACTAAGGGTACAAGCTTTTTGAGAGCAGGATGAGCTTCAGACACAGCCCCTGCTGGGTAGATTCTCAATACCTTTCATTGACTCATGGACTTTAAGCAACCTAATATCCAGTATTTCTGGGCTCAGTTTGCTTATCTGCAAAATGGGGATTATAATACGTAACAGCAAAGCTGCTAGGAATACTCCAAGGCTGGCACTTAAGAAGGCTCAATAAATGACAGCTCTACGGATTTCTGCTCTTCCTGCTGCAGTTGGGAGGAAGCCCTGTCTTACTCTCTCTGACAGACACCTACTGTTTTTCTCTCGTGGCCTCTGTTACCTCTCCCATCTGACTCGGGGAGCATCTCTGAGTATCTCTCTGGGGTCAGCCTGTGTCTAAATCATCTTGCTTTATCTTCCCAACAACCCAATAATGCAGGTAGTAGCTAATCAGAGCCAAGTCAAGTGAGGCTCAAGGAGGTTCAGCAACTTACTCCAGAACCAGGACTTGAACTCAGAACTGGCTCCATGACCAGTGTCCCTTGCCTTGGCTGCTTAGTCCCCAGGGGCCTCCCAGACCCACAGGGGGCTGACTTGGTGGTGGCCTCCCCTGCAAAGGTGAGAACAGGCAGGCTCTTCAGGTGGATCCAGCCCGAGCCCCTTCCTGTGTCTCTGTCAGGCCAGACTCAGAAGGCACAAAGCCGTCTGGTGCCAAGCCCTTTGGCGGGGGCCTCCACAGTCAGCCTCATGATTGGTCCTCACCACCCCCCATTTCGCAGAAGAGGAAAGAGAAGCTTGCATGGCTGCTGCGCCTGCCCCGGTTGTCCGTGATGATCCTCTATGGACAGGCATCTGGATGGAGCCAGCACTGGGCCCAGGCGTGTGTGGGGAGCGGGGCTCTCACCCGATAGGCCGCCTTGAGGCCCCCGTTATCAGCGATGTTCTCCCCCAGGGTGTGCCGCCCGTTCACTGGCTCCCCGTTCACGCTGTAGTTGCTGTACTGTTCAACCATGCACTCGGTCTGACGCTTGAAGGCCTCCACGGATGAGTTCTTCCACCACGGTCGGAGGTTCCCATCCTTGTCATACTCCCGTCCTGTGGGTCAGAGGGAGGCATCATGTCAAGGGAGAGAGTGGCAGAGCGGGGACCTGCTACTCCTCCCTGCTCCTGGTGAGAAGTGGTTCATCCGTCCACCCCCATCCTCCAGCCAGCATGGGGAGACGAGGTCCCTGTGAGTGCCGAGGCACATGGATGGGGGGGGCCGGTCAGAGGCAGGAGAGGATGGAGGAGAGAGATCCAGGGAAAGCCCCAGCGTGGCCCGAGGCTCAGTGGGGCTTGCTTTGTTTTCTTTTTCTTTTTTTTTTTTTTTGAGACAGAGTCTCACTCTGCCACCCAGGCTGGAGTGCAATGGCGCAATCTCAGCTCACTGCAACCTCTGCCTCCTGGGTTCAAGTGATTCTCGTGCCTCAGCCTCTGGAGTAGCTAGGATTACAGGCATATGCCACCATGTCTAGCTGATTTCTGTATTTTTTTTTAGTAGAGACGGGGGGGTCTCACCATGTTGGCCAGGCTGGTCTCAAACTCCTGACCTCAGGTGATCTGCCTGCCTTGGCCTCCCACAGCTCTGGGATTACAGGCATGAGCCACCATACCCAGCCTAATTTTTTTTTTAGTAGAGATGGAGGTCCTGCTATGTTGCCCAGGCTGGTCTCAAACTCCTACCCTCAAGCAATTCTCCTCTTAAAGCACTGAGATTACAGGCATGAGCCATCGTGCCCAGCTGGAAGTGGTACCTTGATCATCAAAAGCATGAGTCAGTTCATGGCCCACGACGACACCGATGCCACCAAAGTTTAAGGCCCTGGAGGGAAGGAGACAAAGGTGGAGGTGATGCTTTGACAGGAGGGCCTCTCCCTCTTGCCCAGGTATGGGAACCTCACTTCCTGGGCTTGGAGACATAACAAAATTCCACAGGGCTCTGTGTGGATAAGGGTGTGGTCATGGCCTGAGTCTCCAGCGAGGCCCGTGAAGCCAGACAGAGGCTGGGCACAGTCTGTGTGGTCGGCTGTGCCCACTGGGCACCATGCACTGTGCTAGATGCTCTACAGACCGAACTGTCCTCTTCAGTCATTGCAAAAGAGTTAGCCATGGTCACCACTGACCAGCTCTATTCATGAGTAGACCAAGGCTGGGAATGGGTCAATTGCTTTGCCCAAGGGCCACACAGTCAACAAAGAGCAGACATGAGATTCAAACGGAGACAGCAGCCTTAACCCTCCTCACTCCCCAGCTCTGACTGTGCTATAACATTGTCAGTGGGGCGCTTCCCTTAGGTACGGCTCTTGATTCCATGAGATGCTCCCAATACCCACTGTGCAGGGCTTCCAGATCTCACTGGAGGGAAGGAAAGTGGGTGAGGATGTTGCTTCCTCTGCAACATCTCTGACCGCCCAAGCCACCTGGACCACTGGGGCAGAGATCACACGGTGAGACTGGCTTGGTCATATGGGCCATGGGACTGGGCTGCGGGTTCACTGAGGGCTGGGGAAAAGAATTGGGGTAGGGGCCCCAGAGGCAGCCTACTTGGGCGAGGAACGCGTGTAGAATGGTGCCTGCAGGATCCCGGCTGGAAACACAATCTCATTCTTGGTGGGCGAGTAGTAGGCGTTCACCATGGGCGGGGTCATGCTCCACCTACAAGCAACACACACGCGGGAGGCCTCAGCACAGGGTGGGAGGCAGGCGGGGACAGCCTGCCTGGAGCGCTGCTTAGGGATGGGGATCGAGGGCGTTAAAAATGCAGACTCTCCTTGACCCCAGGCCCAAGTGCACACAAGTACAAGGACATCTAGAGAAGGACTGTTTGTTTTGAGACAGGGTCTAGTTCTGTCACCTAGGCTGGAGTGCAGTTGTGTGATCATGGCTGACTGCAGCCTCAACTTCTGAGCCTCAAGTCATCCTCCTGCCTCGGACTCCCAAAGTGCTGGGATTACAGGCGTGAGCCATTGTGCCCGGGTGCAGGACTGTTTTTTAGGAGAAAACTAGAAAACACCTGACTGTCTCTGACTGTCTATAAATAAGGGACCAGTTAATCAATGATGTCACATCACACGGTGGAATACTGAGGTTCTTACAAAGAGCAGGAAGGACCATTAGATTTTGAAATGTCAGTGCACGGTGGCTCATGCTTGTAATCCCAGGACTTTGGGAGGCTGAGGTGGGTGGATCACTTGAGGCCAGGAGTTCAGGACCAGCCTGGCCAACATGGCAAAACCCCGTCTCTACTAAAAATACAAAAAAATTAACAAGGTGTGATGGCGCACACTTGTAATCCCAGCTACGTGGGTGGCTGAGGCATGAGAATCGCTTAAACCTGGGAGGTGGAGGTTGCAGTCAGTTGCGATTGCGCCACTGCACTCCAACCTGGATGACAGAGCGAGACTGTCTCAAAAAAAAAAAGAAAAAAAGAAAAGAAAAGAAAAAGATTTTGAAAAGTCACCATTGTCTAGGCTTGAAGAGTATCTATTAGCAGTTTTCAAAGTGTGGTCTGTAGACACCTGGCGGGGAGGGTCCTCAAGACCCTTTTAGGGGATCTATGAAATCAAAACTATCTTATTTATTTATTTTTTGAGACAGAGTTTTGCTCTTGTCACCCAGGCTGGTGTGCAGTGGCACGATCTTGGCTCACTGCAACCTCCGCCTCCTGGGTTCAAGCGATTCTCCTGCCTCAGCCTCCCAAGTAGCTGAGATTACAGGCCCCCACCACCACGTCTGACTAATTTTTGTATTTTTAGTAGAGATGGGGTTTCACTGCATTGGCAAACTCAGGTGATCCGCCCGCCTTGGCCTCCCAAAGTGCTGGGATTACAGGCGTGAGCCACTGCACCCGGCTGAAATCAAAACTATTTTCATAATATTAAGATGTGATTTCCCTTTTCCATTGTGTCACTTGCATGGATGGTACAAAAGCAACAGTAGGTAAAACTGCTGGAGCCTGACATGAATCAAGGAAGTTCTGGTGGTCACTGAGCCCCGAGTTCCTCATTAGCATGGGCTCACAGCCAAAATAAAAAGCCAATTAGCCATTTTCACTTAGAACATCCTTGATGAAGTAGTTTGCTTGCTTTCCCTCTCTCCCTCCCTTCCTTCTTTTCTTTCCTTTCTATTTATTTATTTTGAGGCAGAATCTCACTCTGTCACCCACGCTGGAGTGCAGTGGTGTGACCTCAGCTCATTGCAACCTACACCTCCCAGGTTCAAGTGATTCTCCTGCCTTAGCTGGGATTACAGGTGTTCACCACCACCCATGGTTAATTTTTTTGTATTTTTAGCAGAGACAGGTTTTCGTCATGTTGTTCAGGCTGAACTCCTGGCCTCAAGTAACCCGCCCACCTTGGCCTCCCAAAGTGTTGGGATTACAGGCGTGAGCCACTGTACCCGGTCATGATGATTAATTTCATTACATCTCAACCCCTGAATACAAGACTTCTTTTTTTTTTTTCAAAGCTACAAGATCTTGTTGTGACACCCAGGTTAGAGTGCAGTGGCATGATCATGGCTCATTATAGCCTCGAACTCCTGGGCTCAAGCTGTCCTCCCACCTCAGCCTCTCAGGTAGCTGGGACTACAGGCACTCGTGACTATGCCTGACGATTTTTTTTTTTAATGTTATAGAGGCGGAGTCTTGCTGTGTTGCCCAGGCTGGTTTTGAACTCCTCAAGCAATCCTCCTGCCTCAGCCTCCTGAAGTGCTGGGATTGCAGGTGTGAGCCACTGCACCTGGCAGAAGACGTTTTCATATTCCATGTGACCAGTGGGAAATCCACATATAAAGCATTCTGCTTTTTTCATGGAACTCTGTTGGTACTTTTAGGGTGACTGGTAAACTATGGAATTTCAGACTTGGATATCTGGCATTTTCTTTAAAATGAATAAAGTGAGCTTATCACCTCAAGGAAAACAACTCAAGCCATCTGTTGCCAATGATAAAAATATGAGATTTAAAAAAAATGTTGAAGTTTCAGGCAAAAATTAAAATTTTGAAAAACTTATATTGGCCACCACAAGTTTGACACCTTACCAATAATAATTAAAGGCTTTGCTCACGAAGTCAGCAGTGATATTAACAAATGTGGATTTGTTTTGCTATTGTATAGTGAAAGTATCACCATTTGGAAGATCTGTAAAACTTAGTGAACCATTGTTTTCCAAATGACTAATGCATGTTACAAAATCACACCTGGGTAAAAGATCTATTCAAAGTACAGGACAGACCAATGGAATTTAGTGTAACGGAGTATGAAAAGTTCATGAAGGTTGGGCGCGGTGGCTCATGCCTGTAATCCTAGCACTTTGGGAGGCTGAGGTGGGAAGATTGCTTGAGCCCAGGAGTTTGAGACCAGCCTGGGCAACATGGTGAAACTCTATCTCTACAAAAAATTACAAAAATTCCAGCCTGGGTGACATGGTGAAACCTGTCTCTACAAAAAATACAAAAATTAGCCAGATGTGGTGGTGCGCACCTGTAATCCCAGCTACTCAGGGGGCTGAGGCAGGAGGATCACCTGAGCCTGGGAAGGTTGAGGCTGTCGTGAGCTGAGATTACACACTCCAGCCTGCGTGATACAGTGAAAATAAGAAAAAAGAAAAAAAAAGTTCATGGATGTGGTTTCAGATTCCATATTGCAATTAACCTTTAAAAAATTATCACTTTTCAAGTGTTGGTGTAGTATCAGTAGAATGTACACAAGTACCAGAAAAGACTATTAAAATATCCCTCATCCCTCCCTTTCCCTTGCCTCACACTAAATTCCTATGTGAGGCAAGAATTCTTTTTTTTTTTTTTTTTTTTTTTTTTTGAAACAAAGTCTTGTTCTGTCACCCAGGCTGGAGTGCAGCTAGAGTGCAGTGGCGCGATCTTGGCTCACTGCAACCTCTGCCTCCCGGGTTCAAGCAATTCTCTGCTTCAGCCTCCTGAGTAGCTGGGACTATAGGTGCCTGCCACCACGCCCGGCTAATTTTTTGTATTTTTAGTAGAGGTGGGGTTTCACCATCTTGGTCATGCTGGTCTTCAACTCCTGACCTCGTGATCCACCCACCTCGGCCTCCCAAAGTGTTGGGATTACAGGCGTGAGTCACTGCGCCTGGCCAAGAATTCTTTCTATATATCAAAACAACATATGGTAACAGATTGACTGTGGAATCAGACATGAGAATCTAGTTGTCTTTGATTAAGCCAGACATAAAGAAATTTGCAAAAAGTAAAATGATACCTCTCTTCTCATTAATTTTTTGAAAATAGTTATTTTCCATAAAATTTTAATAACAATCAGGGCCGGGCATGGTGGCAATGGTGCAATCTTCGCTCACCACAACCTCTGCCTCCCGGGTTCAAGTGATTCTCCTGCTTCAGCCTCCTGAGTAACTGGGATTACAGGAATGTGCTACCACACCTGGGTAATTTTGTATTTTTTGTAGAAACGAGGTTTCTCCATGTTGGTCAGGCTGGTCTTGAACTCCCGACCTCAGGTGATCCACGTGCCTTGGCCTCCCAAAGTGCTGGGATTACAGACATGAGCCACCACACCCCGCAATAATTTTTTTAAGAGTGTAGAAAGATCCTGAGACCAAAAAAGATTTTGAAAGTAATGGGATATAGTCACGAGGTATTTGGCATTTCAATGACTTCTCTGGTGCAGAGGGGAAGGGTGAGTAAGGAGTGCAGTGAGATGGATACCACATTTCCCCTAAGAGCCTAGACAGTCACTCTGCTTCCTCCAGGTGAGCCCCACAGCCATGGAAAGATACTGAGAACTTTATTTATTTTGAAATGGGGTCTCACTCTGTTGCTCAGGCTGGAGTGCAGTGGTGTAATCTCTGTTCACTACAACCTCTGCCTCCCAGGTTCAAACGATTCTCTTGCTTCAGGCTCCCAAGTAGGTAGGATTACAGGTGTGTGCCACGACGCCTGGCTAATTTTTGTATTTTTATTAGAGATAGGATTTCACCATGTTGGCCAGATTGGTCTTGAACTCCTGACCTCAGGTGATCCACCCGCCTTGGCCTACCAAAGTACTGGGATTACTGGTGTAAGCCACCGTGCCTGGCCGAGAACTTTATTTATGTATTTATTTATTTTAGAGACAGGGTCTTGCTCTGTAGCCCAGGCTGGAGTGCAGTGGTACAACCGTAGCTCACTGTAACCTCAGCCTCCTGGGCTCAAGCGCACACTACCACGTCCAGCTAATGTTTTAAATTTTTTGTAGAGGTGGGGTTTTGCCATGTTGCCCAGGCTGGTCTCAAACTCCTGGAGTCAAGAGATCTTCCCACCTTGGTCTCTCAAGGCATTCGAATTACAGGCGTGAACCGCATATCTGGCCAAATGGAGGAATTTAAAATATCGTATTTACATTCAAATAACCACAAATACTTCAATGGGTAGGCAAGGAAATTTAAATACAAAAATTCAAGCTAAGTTAAAATACTTCAGATAAATAGGCAACAGAGCCTATGTCATGTTCTGAAGGTAAAAGCCCACCTTCTTGTACATTGGGGGTGCCCTGGTTGGAGGCTGGAAATGAATGAAATAGAGATGTTTGAACCCCTAGAGTCCACCAGGGGGCACCAGAGGCAAAGAGAAGTTGATAGCACCCTTCCCTAAGATTTATCCCAAATGTTTGCACTGAGGAATGGAAGGAACTTGGACTGAAGACTAGAACTGGGCTGACTACATTTAATTTTTTTGAGGAGACAGTATTTTTTTTTTTCCAGGCAGGGTCTCGCTCTGTTGCCCAGGCTGGAGTACAGTGGCATGATCTTGGCTCACTGCAGCCTTGACCTCCTGGGCTCAAGTGATCCTCCCACCTCTGCCTCCCCAGTAGCTGGGACTACAGGTTCGTGCCACCACGCGCAGCTAATTTTTAAAATTTTTTGTAGAGACCACGTCTCCCTCTGTCACCCAACCTGGTCTTGAAGTCTTAGGCTCAAGCGATCTGCCCACCTTGGCCTCCCAAAGTGCTGGGATTGCAGGCGTGAGCTACTGTGCTTGGCCTGAGGAGACAGTAATAAAAAGGACAAAGACCAGGTCTCATTCTAGGTTATCCTGATTTAACGTCAGGAAGCTGTGTTTTTTTGAGATGGAGTCACTCTGTCACCCAGACTGGAATGCAGTGGCATGATCTTGGCTCACTGCAACCTCTGCCTCCCGGGTTCAAGTGATTCTCATGCCTCAGCTACTCACTCCTGAGTAGCTGGGACTACAGCTGTGCGCCACACACCCGGTTAATTTTTGTATTTGTAGTAGAGACAGGGTTTTGCCTCGTTGACCATGGCTGGTCTCAAACTCCTGGGTTCGGGTGATCCACCTGCCTTGGCCTCCCAAAGTGTTGGGATTATAGGCGTGAGCCACCACGGCTGGCCAGGAAGCTGTATCTTTGAAAAAGTTCCCCAGAGGACTCTGATGTGCAGTGAGCTTTGGGAAGCACAGCTGTCAGGCCCATCCAGAACCTTCCCCAGGCCTCTGTGGGCACCCTGTCCTGAGACTCCACCACTCGTGCTAGTGAGGAACTATGGGAAAGCTGCTCTTGCTGGGGTCTCCTTGGGGTCTGGCGCTCCCCAGAGTTCTTCACATTTGACTGCTATGAGGACCCAAGAGCCAGCTCCTCCCATCCTATTCTGCAGATAATGAAAGGCAGGCTCCAAATCCCAAAGCAGTGGAGCGGGGACACGGCGCCAGATCAGCTCCACTCCAGAGGCCGGGCTCACCCTGCCTACAGGCTGGGCAGACTCAAGCCCACCCCAGCTCCTAGCTGGGCCGCACTTCTTTTGTCCTTGGTTTCTTCCTCTGAAAAGTGGGATAACAAGGGCATCCACTCTTCAGACGGCTCTCATGATAGCTGATCGGGTACACAGTAAGGGTGCAATGAAAGCCAGTTCGTCCCAAGGCTTGCCCACAGGTGGGCAGCTGGCACCTTCCCGGCAGGGCCTGGGGGAACTCACTGATCTCTGTTGGGGGCTTTCCTGAGCTGGTCGGCAGTGACCCTCCACGAGAAGTTGAAAAACCGCATGGCATTCTCGAAGTAGAGGTCTGGAACTGCGGTGTACTGGAAAAGAGGAAGCGGAGTCACAATCACAGTGTGCCCTCGGTGAGAGGCATCTTCCAAGACAGGAAGCCAAGGGCTGCCATGGTTAGGGGATTAATCTGCAGGCTGGAGACTGGAATGCAGGGTTTGGGGCTGTAGGGTCAGTTCTTCTCTTGGCCTTCACCCTGGGACACCAGATGGAATGACACTGTTGCAGGATGTCCCTACAGCAGCACCTGGGCCCAGGTAAGAAATATCTCCCATGTTGTCCAATAGAACCTCCTGCGATGATGGATGTCCTATGCTCTACGCCTGCACTGTCCAGTATGGCAGATGACTAAGGCTTTTTTTTTTTTTTTTTTTTTTTGAGACAGAGTCTTGCTGTATCGCCCAGGCTGGAGTGCAATGGCATGATCTTGGCTCACTGCAACCTCCACCTCCTGGTTTAAGTGATTCTTGTGCCCCAGCCTCCCTGAGTAGCTGGGATTACAGGCGCATGCCACCACGTTTGGCTAATTTTTGTATTTTTGGTAAAGATGGAGTTTTATCATGTTGGCCAGGCTGGTTTCAAACTCCTGACCTCAGGTGATCTGCCCACCTTGGCCTCCCAAAGTGCTGGGATTACAGGCGTGAGCCACCGTGCCTGGCTGCTACTAAGCATTTCAAATGTGGCGAGTGTGGCTTTTAAATTTAATGGAAACTAATTTAAGTTTTAATTATTTAAATAGCTACCTGTAGCTACTAGCTACCATACTAGATCTCATAAGTCAAGTAGAAATCTATCTGAAATGTCAAGGGCATGACTGTACCCCCTTTTCACTACTCGGCCCAGCCTTCCAGCTGTTTTTCTGTTTTTTGAGACAGGGTCTTACTCTGTCGCCCACACAGGAGTGCAGTGGTGCAATCACAGCTTGCTGCAGCCTTGACTTCTTGAGCATAAGTGATCTTCCCATCTCAGCCTCCTGTGTAGCTGGGACTTTAGGCACATGCCAACATGCCCGGCTAATTTTTTATTTTTTGTAGAGATGAGGTCTCACTATGTTGCCCAGGCTGGTCTTAAACTCCTGAGCTCAAGCGATCCCCCCTCCTCGGCCACCCAAAGTGTTGGTATTACAAGCATGAGTCACTGTGCCTGGCTCAGCTCTTGCCAGGTGCAAAATTCTCCCTGGCTCTGGTAAAACGCTGGAGCCTCAGGGACAGGACATGGATCCTGGGCTCTGCCCAGGATGCCTCCAGAGGCCCAAGGATTCTGCATCATGACACCCTGGAGCACCTTAAATGATTCTCAAGGAAAAGACTGCAGAATGAGTCTCATGATCTCAGCAGGAGTTTTTTAGTCTTAGGTTCTAAATATAACCATGATGAGAGATTATTAGATTTTTAAACGCCTGGATTCAGGCTGGGCATGGTGGCTCATGCCTGTAATCCCAGCACTTTGGGAGGCCGAGGCGGGCGGATCATTTGAGGTCAGGAGTTCAAGACCAGCCTGGCCAGCAAGGTGAAACCCTCTGTCTCTACTAAAATTACAAAAATCAGCTGGATGGTGGTGGCACGCGCCTGTAATCCCAGCTACTCGGGAGCCTGAGGCAGGAGAATCACTTGAGCCTGGGAGGCTGAGGTTGCAGTGAGCTGAGATAGCACCACCACACTCTAGTCTGGGCGACAGAATGAGACCCTGTCTCAAAAAAAAAAGATTTTTTTAAAGCCTGAATTCAAGTATTTCAATCACAAGAAAATATAAAACTTTATAATTTGAGGCAGAAGCACAATCCACCTAACGGAGTGATTTGTCAAAAGTTCTAACAAGCAGGGATGTATCCACCACTTCTGCTGCCCAAACCAAGCTGGAAAATGCACCTGGGTTTATGATGCTTCCTTCCCATTAGCATTTCAAAGTCAAAATCAGAGGCCTGGCTTTCTGGGGAGGTGGGGGAGGACCATGGGGACAGGAGGCAACTGGAAGCACGACCAGGGAGGGAGGAGGTGGTGTGAGGGTTTTTCCACTTCATACCCCACCCCTGATGTCCGAGGGCCACCAATTCTCCCTGCACCTTCTGGGGTCTGTTTCCTCCATTATTTCCTATACATTAAATGGAGCTGACCACTTCCAGGGGGCACACAGCATGGGTTCCGTACTGACCGGTGGGCACTGCCTGATTGATGGTGGCTACGGGGAGGCAGGGCCTCCAGCTGACCTGGGAGCCAAATTAAGAAGAAGAAGAGGCTTCCTCATGCCTGACCCATCCCCAAACCCCACACCACATCATCCCTCTGTGCTCTGACAAGCATGCTGCCTCCAGCACCCCGTCTGCACCCAGCCCTGCCTCGGCCCTTTTCCGAGGGGGCATTTGGGAACGCGAGGGGGCAGGACAGCAGTTACTCACGTCATTAAACACTTTGTCCAGCTCCTTGGGGTCCATGATGAAGTTGGGGTATCCTATCATGTTATAGATGGCATCGGCCTGGACAGGACAGATAGAGGAAGTGAGTGCCTGGTAACACCGACCAGGCCAGCCTGAGCTCCTTGGGTGCTGGGCTCACAGTCTGGTGGGCCAAGGGGAACCAGAGCCAGGCCCTGCCTGCCTTGGGCTTTCACAACTTTTTCTGGTTCTGGTTTTCTGGTTTCACAACTTTGGCAAGGTTTCCCCCTTGCCAAACTTCTACTTATCCCTTAGGTCTCTGTTTAAATGTCACTTTCCCAAGGGAAGTGTTTGCTGATTCCCACCCCACTGAGGGTGCCAGAGCCTTCCCGCCCCACGGGACGTGCTGCATCTTCCTGCACCTTTTCCCCGTACACTCAGCGAGGTTTGTCTTCTACAGACCTCCATGCAATCATGTGCTTGAGGCCTACCCCGAATCCTGCTAGGCCTAGACCGCTCACCCCCTGAAGGCAAGACAGCATCCAGGCTGTGCTCCCGGATAGAACTGGCCTCTCTGGGCGCGGTGGCTCACGCATGTAATGCCAGCACTTTGGGAGGCCAAGGCGGGTGGATCACCTGAGGTCAGGAGTTCGAGACCAACCTGACCAACATGGAGAAACCCCATCTCTACTAAAAATACAAAATTAGCCGGGTGTAGTGGTGCATGCCTGCAATCCCAGCTACTTGGGAGGCTGAGGCAGAAGAATCGCTTGAACCCGGCAGGCAGAGGTTGCGGTGAGCCAAGATCACGTCATAGCACTCCAGCCTGGGCAACAAGAACGAAACTCTGCCTCAAAAAAAAAAAAAAAAAAAGAGAACTGGCCTCTCCTTCCCCCACCCGCCTCCATCTGTGCTGGACGCCACAGCACTCCCTCTCCACGCGCCTGGCCAGCCTCACCTTTTCCTTGGCTGATTTTCGGGTTTCCTCGTCCATCCACTTCAGGGTGCTCAGACTTTCCTCAAACGCCTTCTTGATCTCCAGGATTATCTCAGTGGCCTGAGGAGATACACATCACAGCAGTAAGGTCTGGGCACTGGTCTCAAGTAAATGCAACGGGCAACCTGTGCAGAAGAATGATGCAGGGGCCAGAGATTAAACTCAATTTTCCAAGCGTCAGGCTGGGTGAGAAGGGGAGCCACAGCTGTGCTTCCAAACCACGCTCCTAATGTGAACGCCCTGCAAGGCAGGACTGGCCTTCCACACACAGGGCTCCATGCTCCAGTAAGCTTAGGCCAAGCTTCAGGAATGTTGGAAAAGTCTCTGCTACGGGCGTTTTCAGAGCCTTTAATGTGGTAATAGGCACTGCAATTCTTCCAGAGAGGGGAGAACACACAGCCTCTCCCAGCCTTATTGGACCACAGCATTCCTTTTTGATGGATCAGGCTTTAAGATCTAGAGTACTCATGTTCCGAGGAGCAGCTTCAGAAATGCCATGTCACGCTGGAGATGGACAGGTGCTCTCGAGGGTGACAATGTCATGAGCAGACGAGCTTGAAGATGGAAGGTTGAAGGTTCTAGAGAAGGGGAAGGCAGAGCTGTGCAGCAACAAGAGCAGACGGGCCAGCAGACCCCAACTCAGACCCTGCCAGCTGCTCACAGGCCAGTCACTGTAATGGATGTGAACTGTGGTTGGCTCACCTCCAGCTGCAGATGACATCGACATAATGAATGCTATTTGTCATCAAGATTGTAACAATAAAATGACCGCTCCCATTGCTTGAACCCTTATTTTGTGGTGGTGCTCAGTGTGTGACATCTCATTTAATCTCTCTCTGTGGGAGGAATGCCCCCGTCTCCATATTGCAAATGATGTAAGAACTGTCCCAGGCTACCCAGCCAGTGGTGAGGCCAGGATCTGAGCTTAGGCCGGGCTGTGTCCACAGCGCTCTGCCATGGCACTCCTCTGCCTGTCTAGAACAAACCTATCACCCACAGAATAAGAAAAATATCACCCTCTGGGCCAGAGCTGCTCTGCCAACATTCTCTCTGGGTCCTTTACAGCCCTTGGAAGTCGGGATGGCTGTCACAGCCTTGCAGGCTCCCGGGAGGCTCACGTGAGCTTGTGTAGATGAAGGGCCTGGCACTGAAGAGCTGCCGTTATGAGACTCCCATCACCCAGGGCTCAAGGAAGTGGGGCCTCTGCATTGAGGCTGTGGCCCCAGGGCCCTTTGCCCGGGAACAGGAAAGGCCCAGGCTGGGCTGGAGTGTGAACTGACAGGTCTGCGCAGGGCCATAACAACTATGACCTCACAGCCAATGTCCACGGGGGAGGCACTTACTATGCTCTTGCTGTCCTCGGCGAAGGTTGCTTTGACGAACATGGGGCCCAACGCAAAGCCCAAGTTGTTTTCTGTGTCACTCACGCAAAACTTCCAGCGAGGAAGACAGGTCTGGAAAACACAAGTCGGGGAGCTCATTGGGCCCCAGCCCTTCGTTTCCCGTTCTTTCCGGGAGGTGGTACCATGTGGGGCCCATGTTTCGTTCTGGAAGTTCAGGGAGAGCTTTCTGGCCCAGTAAAGCTATTTTAGTTACCAGACCAAGAAGCCACTGATACCCGTCACTGCCACCCCCTGCCATTTCTTGAATGCCAGGCTCTGTGCTGGGACTTCACAAGCGATGTCCCATTGAGCCAATCAGTGACCCTCGGGTCTTACAAACCGTTTGAAAGATGGGGAAACACACTCAGCACGGAGCAGCTGCTGGCCCAGGGTGCCCCACGAGTGACAAGTGTCACTGCAACAAGATGCGCCCGACCCCACATCCCATGCTCCTACCTACACCCAGCTCGTCCTGCCTCCTGGGGAGACCAGGAGTCCTGGAGGCAAAGAGTCGTGGGGAGTGACTGGTCTATCTGAGCCACAGAAAAAACTTTACCAGGGCCAGGGCTCCAGTGCCATTGAAGATCTCCTCAAATGAGAACACTACAGCAATGCCGCAGGACTTTTTTTTTTGGCAGGGTCTCGCTCTGTCACCTAGGCTGGAGTGCAGTGGTGTGATCACAGCTCACTGCAGCCTCGACCTCCCAGGCTCAAGTGATCTTCCCACCTTAGTCTCCTGCGTAGCTGGGACGACAGGTACTTGCCACCATGCCTGGCTCATTTTTTCTATTAAAAAGTTTTTTTTTTTTTTGTAAAGACATGGTCTCACTATGTTGCCTAGGCTGGTCTAGAACTCTTGGGCTCAAGTGATCCTCCTGCCTTGACCTCCCAGAGTGCTGAGATTACAGGCGTGCGTGAGCACCACGCCCGGCTCACCGTGGGACTGCAATGCCTTGATTGTTTCTTGGTCTCGCCTACAAGCCCCACAGTCCATACGACACCTCTGTGCAAACTGGAAATAGGCGTCTGTGGGCTGCAACCTCCTGGGCATGGCCCAGGGACGTGTGCCCGGCTAATGTCAGCCCCAGTCATTCCCCAGCCAGGCATCCCTCTGTGGGCAGTATATATGACCACATGTGGTGGCCCTGCTCCCATAAATCCCTCATGCGACAGAGGAAGTGATGTCCTCTTAACCCCAAAGAACAGGTGGTGAACAACCACCCACGCTCAGAGAAGCCTGATTCATAATGGCCCTAAACTGACAACAGCCCAAATGCCCATCAGCAGGCAGATGGATCAACAAAATGTGGTATTTTTATACAGCAACATACTACTTGGCAACAGAAAGGAATGAACTAGCTACCGATACATACGACAGCATGGATGAATTCCACAGACTTAAGCAGAGCAAAAGCAGCCAGGCACATCGTGTATAATTCCACCCGCACCCAGCTGCACCAGCCTTGGGGGCTGGGGGCTGACGGGAAAGAGGCATGAGGGCACCTGCTGCTCAGAAGGTGCTGAACTAATGGGTGATGGGAATGTTCTCTATCTTTCTAAAATTTTTATACTTTTTTTTTCTTTTTTCTCTCTCTCTTTTTTTTTTTTTTAGCATGCTATGCCCAAGGCAGAAGGGGATATTCTCTATCTTGATTGTGGTGATGATGGTTACATGGGTGACTTCATTGGTCAAACTCATTGAGGCCAGGTGCAGTGGCTCGTGCCTGTAATCCCAGCACTTTGGGAGGTCAAGGTGAATGGATCACTTGAGGTCAGGAGTTTGAGACCAGTCTGGCCAATATGGTAAAACCTCGTCTCTACTAAAGATACAAAACTTAGCCAGGCGTGGTGGCATGCACCTGTAATCCCAGCACACAGAAGGCTGAGGCAGTAGAACTGCTTGAACCCAGGAGGTGGAGGTTGCAGTGAGCCAAGATCAGGTCACTGTACTCCAGCCTGGCTGACAGAGGGAGGCTCTGGCTCAATTAAAAACAAAAACAAACGAACAAACAAACAAACAAAAAAGGCTGGGATAGAGGCTCACACCTGCAATCCCAGCGCTTTGGGTGGCTGAGGTGGGTGGATCCCCTGAGGTCAGGAGTTCAAGACCAGCCTGGCCAACATGGTGCAACTCCGTCTCTACTAAAAATACAAAAATTAGCCGGGTGTGGTGGTGGGCACCTATAACCCCAGCTACTCGGGAGGCTGAGGCACGAGAATCGCTTCAACCCTGGGAGTGGAGGCTGCAGTGAGCTGAGATCGCGTCACTGCACTCCAGCCTGGGTGACAGAGTGAGACTCCGTCTCAAAACCAAACCAAACCAAAAACTCACTGAACTGTATACTTAATGTACACTGCATTTTTCATTGTATGTAAATTATGCCTTAGCTACAAAAATTTCTTTTAGGCAAGAAAGAAGGAAGGAAGGGCCCCTCTTCTCATCTCACCCACGTTGTTTTTAGTTTTCCCAACTACATGTCCATTTGGATGCCTTGCCCTCAGCCTCTCCCTCCCTCCCCGCACTGCCCTCCTTCGGCTGAGAAGCCCAAAGCTAGACACGTGGTCTGTGTCTGGCTGAGGCCGATCACACAGGAGGTCAGGACTAGGGGGACTCTAATTTGAGGCTCCGTGGAGGCTCCAGGCTGTGAGGGCTGAATCACAGACAGACTTTCTTATGCGTCGTCTTCTCTGGAGATTCTCTGGATAAACCCATTCGTTCACACGAGCTTTCATTCATTTACGCATCCAGTGTTCTACAAGCAGTTCCCCTGCAACCTGACTGTGCTGGGTCTTTGGAAGCTAGAGATCAATCAACAGTGAGCCTGCACTCCCGGGTCTCAACTGAAATGCCCAGAACACCCAGTGAGAGAAACAGACATGTAATAGCACCATCCAAGCAGTAATCGCAGTAAAGTGAAGCAGTGGAGTGAGTGCTTACTGTGTGCCGGGCCCTACCGCATATACTGCTTACAGTAAGATTCTCCTGCCTCAGCCTCCCGAGTAGCTGGGATTACAGGTGCCCACCGCTACGCCTGGCTAATTTTTGTACGTTTAGTAGACACAGGGTTTCACCATGTTGGCCAGTCTGGTCTCAAACTCCTGACATCAGGTGATCTGCCCGCCTCAGCCTCCCAAAGTGCTAGGATTATAGGTGTGAACCACCACGGCCAGTCTCTTTGTTTCTTTTTGCAGATAAAAAACTGTGGCACAGAGAAGTTAAATCACTTGGCCAAAGAGATCACCCAAGGAGTAAGTGGTTGAGGTGGATTTTTTTTTTTTTTGAGATGGAGTCTTGCTCTGTCTTCCAGGTTGGAGTGCAGTGGTGTGATATCGGCTCACTGCAACCTCTGCTTCCTAGGTTCAAGCAATTCTCCTGCCACAGGCTCCCGTGTAGCTAGGATCACAGACGTGTGCCACTACACCCGGCGATTTTTTGTAGTTTTAGTAGAGGTGGGCTTTCACCATGTTGGCCATGAACTCCTGGCCTCAGGTGATCCACCAGCCTTGGCCTCCCAAAAGTGCTGGGATTACAGGCATGAGCCACTGTACCCAGCCTGAGGTAGAATTTGAACTCAGAAAGTCCAGCTCCAATGTCTTCCTTCAGAGCCACGCTCTCTGCCTACAGGTCACGAAGTCCTGGAAGTCCTACAGGATGGTGAGAAAAATCTCCAAAAGGAGCAAGGGTCAGATCGATCTGACCGGTCAGGAAGCCTGCATCTTGGAGGTGATCTATGAGTCAAGTCTGGGAAGATAAGGAGCAGCCAGGCAGCCTCCTCCACTCTGACCTGGCTGCATTTTTTTTAAAACCTTTTCCTCACTGTAATACAAGGAGCCCTCAGCAAGGGGTTCCTTCCTCCCTGCTGGAAGTCTCAATTCACAAATGGGTGGCAGCTGATGGGAAACAGCTGCGTGCAGTGCTTCAGCAGTCAGAACATACTTCACAGGGATCCCCCGTGTAATCTTAGGAGGCCCTTGGCTATGCAAGGCAGGGATCTGTTACCCCTTTTTATAGATGGGAGACTGAGCCCCTGCCCCAACGAAGCAATCTGCCTAAGGTGTGGTTAGAAGAACCAATTCAAACATGGATCTTCTGACTCCAAATTCCATGCTGTTTCCTCACGGCAGGCTCCCTCCCTGCCAGGATGAACAAACGCACACACCACGCTGCTTTCCACGGTCTACGCTTTTTCCCAAATGGAGGCCATTCACAAAGGTCCTGTGAGGTGAGGTCAGGAATGATCTCCAATTGCAGATTAAAAAAACTGAGGCTCAGAGATGTGTAAGGACTACCCAAGGTCACACAGCTAGGAGGTGGCTTTGAGTTGGGCTGAACACAAGCAGGAGGGACCTGGCCTGGGCCCAGACACTGTCACAGCGGGGGAGTAGGGAGGGCTGGAGATTAAGAAACAGGCAAGCAGTAGCCTTCACCCATCAGCTCTGGGGTATCCAGAGATCCCTGCTCAGAGCCTCCCACTTCAGGGTTCCCACTTGCCCGTGCCTCTCCTGAGGTCTCCCTGTGTCCCACCTGCTCCAAGTGCCACATTTGAGCAGCACCCTGTGCTTTGAAGGTAGCCCAGGGAAGCTCACTCCATAACTGACTAATTAATTATTTTTTAAAAAGTGATGGGGTCTCACTCTGTTGCCTAGGCTGGAGTGCAGTGGTGTAGTCAGTGATAGCTCGCTGCAGCCTTAAACTCGTGGGATCAAACAGTCCTCCTGCCTCAGCCTCCAGAGTAGCTGGGACTACAGGCATGCACCATGTGCCTGGCTCAGAACTTTTTTATCTTGCAAATCTGAAACTCTATATTCATTAAATAATAATTCCTCATCCCTCTTCCTCCATATCAGCCCTTGGCAACCACAGGGAAGCTTGACCTTAACTTTTGTTTCCTGCAGAGCAGAGGCGGAGTGGTACAGAGCTCAGGGCTATGGAATCAGATATGTTGGGTTTGATAGCCTCCTCTCCACTTGTAAGTGACTTTGAACAAGTCCCTTTCCCTCACTGAGCCTTGGTTTCCTCATCTGTAAAATGGAAGAGGATAATAGCTGTTGTAGGAATTTATAATGCCTATAAAAGGGAGATATCCAATAATGCTATCTTTGGTTATTATTATCATATGGTAAGTGAGTAGCTGAAAGTGTCTCAAAGTTGTAAACATCAGATCTGGGATTTTCATTCAAGCTTGCTGCTTTCTTTTCTTTAAAAAACAGAGACAGGGTCTTGCTATGTTTTCCAGGCTGGGCTCACATGATCCACCTGTCTTGGCCTCTCAAAGTGTTGGCATTACAAACGTGAGCCACCATACCAGGCCCCTGCTGCTTTCTTGCTGGGTGACTAAGAAAGTCCCTTCACCTCCCTGAGCCTGTTTCATCATCTGTAACCTGGGAAGGTGAGAGATGATGTGGGTGTATGTTCCACAGACAGAACAATCTCTGGAACCATCATCCTGGGTCCTGATCAAACCTCTCTGTAGAAAGTCCCCTGGGAGGCCAAGTTCTGCAGGGAACAGAATCCCGGCTTTGGCCACATCTCTAACCCAGGGCCAGTCCAAGGTAGACGCACGATGAGCAGGAAGGCGAGATGGTCGGGCAGGGCAGCAAACCCATGTTCCTACTTTGCCCTCCGCAGGACAGCATGGCTCTTGTGGCCAAGGTCTGGTGATGCCCTCGGAAGCGCCTCTGGTTAAAATGGGGCTTGTTCCCAGCTACCCTCTCCCTCAGTCCCCTTGCTGCCAGAGGTAGGTTTGCATGGGGATGGGAGAGAGGACGTGTGGGATGCATTCCAGGGCTCAAAGCAGGAGCCCACATCCTGCCATTCTCTGCCAATCCTCACCTGGATTGGACTCTGGGAAGGGTTGCAGGGGTGGGGTCCAGCTGGAGTCAGCTCTGCCTGCTCTCTGGGGAGGATTGCTAGGGTCTTGCTAGCTGCTATCTGGGTTGGGGAAGGTGTGCCAGGTGAGCTGGGCATACCAGCCTCTACTGCTCTGCAGCTGGGGCCTCTTCCAGTCACTCTCTGGGGCCCAGGCTTGATGTACCCCATCAGCACATATGAGAACTGGTCAGTTCCTATCACCTCCCTCAGATGGTGTGGGCTCTTGGGGTACAGACCCCAGCTCACCTGTCTCAGTATTCCCATACTGGGCTCAGAGCCTGGCATATGGCGGCAGAAGTTCAATGAGTAACTATTAGTTGGCTGCATGAGAGGGTGACAGATACTTCCTTGGGGAGAAGGTAGAAGTGACTGTGAAACTTTCCACTGGGGCTAGGTTCCCCTGTGAGAGGGCAGGGAAGGTCCCTGAAGCCTCTGGAAGAATGGACCCTCAGGGGTCCTGGTGGGGGGGCATTTGACGGCAGGTAGAGCCCACCTGGCCTGGGGTTTCCCAGACTACAAACTGGAAGGAAAACAGAAACACTGAACAGTCGCGTGGTGCTTCCAAGAACCAGGCACTGTTCTGTGTTTTACGTTTCTGGGGAAAAAGTAATACTATTGGGGGTCCCCTGTGCAAAGTGGGGATAATAATAGTACCCACCGCACAGGCATTGTGAGGATCACAAGTTGTTCAAGGAGAGCATCTATCATCACTACTGGCAACTACTTTTGGCTGTAAATTGGCTAAGTGGCTAGGACTCCTCTTTACCCTTTACTTGGCATAATCACTCCTTCTGGAAGCTTCTGCCCACGCCCAGCTGGCTAAGGTCCCTTCCCGTGCTCCCACAAACGCCTTGGCATCAGGTAGGCGCTCAGCCCATATTCAGGCATACACAGTAGCAGGCTCACCTTCTTGGTCCCGTACATGACTTCCATGAACTTCTCATCGGCGTCCTGAAATCGCTGGTCGAGGAAGGAGCTTGTTTTCCGCACTAGGTTCCAAATCATGTAGTTGTTGAGCAGGCTGCGGGGAGAGGAGGCCAGAGAGACTCAGGGACGCCTAGGCAGGGAGCATCGTGGCCCTTCCCCCGCTGGCCCCTAGGGGGCTCTCAAACTCGGCCTGTGACCCCAGGCCCCTTCCAGCCTGCCCAGGCTTGGTGGGTTACTGCTCCCTAACACGTGCAACGTAAGCTCTTCAAGGGAAAGGCCTGGGTCTTCTACCATAGGAAACGCCTCAGTGTTTAGTGCAATCACTTATATACCACAGGTACTCAATAAATGCTTGCTGCCTAGCTGCTCTGTCTGGAAGCTATGAAGCCCCCGCATGGAGACCCACCCCAATGGTGTATGCTACAGGGCTGGGATGGAGAGGTGACTACTACTTCTACAGCTTGGAGGTGCCCCAGCCAGAAGGCCAGACAGGCTAAGGATAGGAGGGGTAGGAAAAGAAACACAGCCCAGCCAGGCCAAGGTTTCCATGACGACAGCTCCCACTGCCCCACCCCCAGCGCACAGGGAACCTATCTGTGGCTGTTGCCACCATTGCCAAGAAGTCACCTTGGGACTGTAGTGAATATCTAACCTCTAATCAGAATCAAACAAAATGCCCGACAATGAGAAGGAGGAAGTAAAGAACTGTATTTGTACATGACAGAATACTATGCAACCATGAACAATGATGGTTGCAGAGGTTTTGAGATGACAAAGGGTAAACTGTTCAGGATACAGGTCGAGGGAAAAGGGGACTAGACATTTAGTGATGATAATGGGAAAAAAAGACCACATATTAGAAAATCCATCTCTCTTTCCCTCCTCTCTCCTGCCCTCCCCCATGCTTTCTCTCTACACATACACACACACACCCCACAAGATCAACAGCAGTCATTTAAAATTTTTTCAGAGCCTGGTGAGGTGGCTCACACCTGTAATCTTAGCACTTTGAGAGGCCAAGGTGGGAGGATTGCCTGAGCCCAGGAGTTTGAGACCAGCCTAGGGAACATGATGAGAACCCCATCTCATTAAAAAAATTTTAACAAGTTTGAGGAGTTAGGAAAAAAAAAGTTAAATAAAATAATTTTTTCCCCTATTTTTTTGGTAGTTTTCAAAAAATTTTTTAAAAATTCTAAGTACTGCTGGGTGGTGGTGGCTTATGCCTGCAATCCCAGCACTTTGGGAGGCTGAGGCAGACAGATTACTTGAGGTCAGGAGTTAGGGACCACCCTGGCCAACATGGTGAAACCCCATCTCTACTAAAAATACAAACATTAGCTGGCGTGGTGGCAGGCACCTCTAATTCCAGCTGTTTGGGAGGCCGAGGCAGGAGAATCATTTAAACCTGGGAGGCGGAGGTTGCAGTGAGCAGAGATTGCGCCACTGCACTCCAGCCTGGCTGACAGAGTGAGACTCCATCTCAAAAAAAAAGAAAAAAAAAGAAAAAAAGAAAATCATAAGTATTAACTAAAAATAATAGCCAACATTTACTGAGTCCCATTACATGCTAGGGACTGTATTAAATCACCTCATATGGATTGTTTCACTTGATTCTCACATCACCCCTAAATTGTAGGTGCTAGGTTTCTCTGTTTGAGACAGGGTTTTACTCTGTCTCCCAAGCGGGAGTGCAACAGTGCAATCACAGCTACTACAACCTCTGCCTCCTGAGCTCAAGTGATCCTTCCCCTTCAGCCTCCCTCTCGAGTAGCTGGGATGACAGGCACGCGACACCATGTCTGGCTAATTTTTTATTTTTTATAGAGACACCGTCTCGCCATGTTGCTCACGCTGGTCTTGAACTCCGGGACTCAAGTGATCCTCCTGCCTTGGTCTCCCAAAGTCCCGCAATTACGGGTGTTCGTGCCTGGCCACAGGTGCTATTTGTATCCCCATTTTTGGAGGAGGAGAATGAATTTAAGAAAGAAAAAGAAATTTGCCCAAAGCTACAAAGCTGGTAGTTGGAAAGAGGCTGGGATTTAAACCTACACCCGTAACCAGGATGTCCTGCTGCCTCTCATAAAAGCCCGCCCAGGTCCCACTCTCCTGAGTCAGACTGTCATCCCCACCCCTGCCCAGCCTGCCCAAGAAGAGGGCTGCCTGTGAGAGGCATGCCCCAGGCCACTGGGGGTTCCCTTACCATTTGTCGGTGTTGTTGATGAGAGTGGAGACCTGCTCAAGGTATTCCTTGTCATAGACCACAATAGGCTCGGATTCGTTGATCTCCACGGGGTAGAAGATGGTGTTGAGAAAAGGTAACCAGTTGATGGCGGGTGCCAAGGTCTGCAAGGGAAAAGGACAATGTGACCCTGTGGGGCTGCTTCTCCTCATAGCCCAGGTCTCCAGAACGGGCTTCTACAGGAAGCAAAGGGAACAGCTTGGGCTTGGCGCCATCTGACAGTGCACTGGGCAGAGAGTCAAGCAGAGCCTGGCGGACTTTTATCAGAGATGCTGTAGGTAGAATTCTAAGGAGTCCAACACCAAAATTTAACTCGAAATGGAACGAGGATGGAATGAGAAGATGCAGCAGCTACCGCTACCATTCAGCAAGTGTCTCCTGTGTGCCATGGATGAAGAGACTGAGCTTCAGACAGGCCTGAAACAGTTGAGCATGTAGAATCTGCAGCCAAACTGCCTGGGCTCATCTTCTAGCTCTCTTCCTTGCTAGCTGTGTAACCCTGGGTAAGTTAATGAACCTTTCTGGGCCTCAGTATCTTGTCTGAAAAGTGGGGATCACCATAATAACAGAACCCACTTCACTGGGTCATTTGTGAGGACCGAACAAGCTTATGCTGTCTGTTCTATTCAACATAGGCTTCTGTAACATCAGTGAGCTTCCACATGATTGGTAAATTCAGGATGACGGCAGGATAACGTGTGAGCTGCATTGGTCTGAAGGTGATGTTTCTCAGGCATGGGATTGGGAAGGGTTGAACGCCAACCTTCAGTAAGAAAGGAAAAGCCCTCAGCTCAGCTGATGCACACAGCAGGCTGGTCAGCTCTACCTTTTCTTTTCTTTTTTTTTGAGACAGAGTCTCACTCTGTCGCCCAGGCTGGAGTGCAGTGGCACGATCTCGGCTCACTGCAAGCTCCACCTCCCGGGTTCACGCCATTCTCCTGCCTCAGCCTCCTGAGTAGCTGAGACTACAGGTGCCCACCACCATGCCCGGCTAATTTTTTAATATTTTTAGTAGAGATGGGGTTTCACCATGTTAGCCAGGACAGTCTCAATCTCCTGACCTCGTGATCTGCCCGTCTCAGCCTCCCAAAGTGCTGGGAGCTGGGATTACAGGTGTGAGTCACTGCGCCCAGCCTACCTTTTTTTTTTTTTTTTTCTTTGAGACAGAGTCTGTCTCTTTCGTCAGGCTGGAGTGCTGTGGTGCCATCTCAGCTCACTGTAACCTCTGCCTCCAGGGTTCAAGTGATTCTCCTGTTTCAGCTTCCTAAGTAGCTGGAATTACAATAGGCACCCACCACCATGCCTGCTTAATTTTTGTATTGTTAGTAGAGACAGGGATTTGCCATGTTGGCCAGGCTGGTCTTGAACTACTGACCTCAAGTGACCTGCCTGCCTTAGCCTCCCAAAGTGCTGGGATTACAGGCATGAGCCACCGCGCCCAGCCTGGTCCGCTCTTTTAAGATGACTGAAAATAAGCCCTTGCGCCTGGGGCTTCCTCTCCTCACAGAAGCTCCTTCCAGCCCTGTAACTCTCAGCCTCCAGCAGGTTGCACTTTCTCTGTGACCCTAAAGGCGCTTGCTCAGAGCTCCCTGTCTTTTTTTTTTGAGACGGAGTCTCACTCTGACACCCAGGCTGGAGCGCAGTGGCACAATCTCAGCTCACCGCAACCTCTGCCTCCTGGGTTCAAGAGATTCTCCTGCCTCAGCCTCCTGAGTAGCTGGGATTACAGGCACGTGCCACCACGCCTGGCTAATTTTTGTATTTTTAGTAGAGACGGGGTTTCATCATGTTGGTCAGGCTGGTCTCGAACTCCTGACTTCATGTTCCACCTGCCTTGGCCTTCCAAAGTGCTGGGATTACCAGCACTTTGAGCCACTGTGCTAGGCCAGAGCTCCCTGTCTTATCTGCAGGGTCTTGGTGTCCACAGCTAGCACTTCCCAGCTGGCACTTTCCCCAAGGCAGCCTCCAGCCACGCTGAGGTACTCCTTAAGGTTCCAATTATTGTTTTGTTAGGATTCTGGTTACAAAGTTGCACAACTTAAAAAAAAAAAAATTGTGGTACACTTTGGAAGGCGGAGGCCAGTGGATCACCTGTGTGAATGGACTCAATGCCCCTGAACTGTGTTTGTTTTTTTTTTCTGAGGCAGGGTTTCACTCTGTCAACCAGGCTGAAGTGTAGTGGTGTAATTTCAGCTCACTGCAGCCTTGACCTCCCAGGCTCAAGCAATTCTCCCACCTGGGACTGCAGGCACAGGCCCCCATGCCTAGCTGATTTTTAATTTTTTTTTTGTAAAGATGGAGTCTTGCCATGTTGTCCATGCTGGTCTTGAACTCCTGGGCTCAAGCGATCTGCCCACCTCAGTCTCCCAAAGTGCTGAGGTTATAGGCATGAACCAATGCATCTGGCCTTGAACTGTGCTCTTAAACATGGTGAAGATGGTGAATTTTATGTTATATGTGTTTTAACACAATTTTTTTTTTTTTGAGATGGAATCTCACTCTGTTGCCCAGCTGGAGTGCAGTGGCGTGATCTGGGCTCACTGCAACCTCCGCCTCCCGGGTTCAAGCGATTCTCCTGTCCCAGCCTCCCAAGTAGCTGGGACTACAGGCACACGCCACCACCCTTGGCTAATTTTTTTCTTTAATTTTATTTTTAGTAGAGATGGGGTTTCACCATATTGTTCTCAGGCTGGTCTCAAACTCCTGAACTCTGGTGATCCACCTGTCTGGGCCTCCCAAAGTGAGGGGATTACAGGCGTGAGCCACCATGTCTGGCCCCACAGATTTCATCTTGCAAATGTGAGACTCTACCCATTAGGCAATAACTTCCCACTGGCTCCAACCCCCACCCCTGGAAAGTACCATTCTACTTTCTGTCTCTGTGAACTTGCCTACTCTAGGTACCTCACAGAAGTAGAATCAGGTAGCATTTGTCCTTTTGTGATTGGCTTATTTCGCTTAGCACAATATCCTCAAGTAAAGTTGCCTAACTTTTGTTCTGCTCTTGTTCTATTTTCTCCACCTGTACTGCTATTTCTAGTGTATGATTTTACAGAACACAAGGAACTACACATACTGCTATAGCAAAAATGCCTGTACATGTCAATCACTTAGAAGGGTATGTCTGGCATTTGGCAAGCAATCCATCAATGTTGGCCATTACTCTTTGCTCAGGGTCTCCCATGTATGTTCCTTGGCCTGTCCAATTCCAAATTCTCTTTTATTTTCTTGAAAAAGGACAAAATGCAAGACAAAGGAGGTGAGAGAGGCTCCACATATGGCCTTCATGCAGAAAAATCAATCAATAAAGTAAAACTGATCTGCAACTTAAGGCCAGTCTATAGCCCGTTGGTAAATACCGATGACACCCCCTGTGAGAGAGGTAGCCATAAACCCCCACTTAACAGATGCTGAATTTGTAGATGGGGTAAGGTGACTGTCCTGAGGTCACACAGTTAATTAGCCACTGTGGAGGTCTAAAACCCAGGCTCACTCATCTCTTTGGGTTTAAAAGGGTAACTCAGCTCCTGGGGAACAAGGACCTCAAAGGACAGGTGAATTTGTGAGGAAGGCAGGTCCTGAAGGCAGTGGTGTGCTGGTAACGCGGTTAATAACTGCACCGGGCACGGTGGCTCATGCCTGTAATCCCAGCACTTTGGGTGGCTGAGGCAGGAGAATCACCTGAGGCCAGGAGTTCAAGACCAGCCTGGCCAGCATGGCAAAACCCAGTCTCTACTAAAAATATAAAAAAATTAGCCACCAGGTGTTGGGGTGCACACCTGTAATCCCAGCTATTTGGGAGGCTGAGGCATGAGAATTACTTGAGCCTGGGAGGCAGAGGTTGCAGTGAGCCAATATTACTCCACTGTACTCCAGCCTGGGCAACAGGGCGAAGCTGTCTCAAAACAAAAACAAAAACAAAACAGTTAACAACTGGCTCTCAGTTTCTGGGTAACTCTTCCCCCCATGGCTGATGGTAAAATACCTGCGGAGCTGGGAAGAAAATACCTGCGGTGCAGCGGACTTGGGGTTCAGGGGGTCCCGGTGCACCCTGCCTGCCTGGCAGCTAGGTGAGCTGGGAAGAGCCCTGGGCTAAGAATGAACAGTCCTAGATCAGCGTCCCCAGGAGGCACCAACTCTGGGACCTCCAGTCTTTTTCCATTCTTTCTCTAAAATGCAGACAACAGCCTCCCCTCCCAGAGCTGATGGATCTGTGCCTCTTGTACCTGCTTGCCCAATAACCCTGAGTTTCTTTTCTTTTTACCTTGTGCTGTCTGCTGTCCTCCTGGCAGGAGGCCCTTAGGCAGGTAACCTCTGAGGCTAATCTTTTACATTTCTATGACTACAAAAATTGGAGCTGTGCTTGTGAGATCTTCAAACAGGGCTCCACCATCAGAGCCACCTGACTGCATGACCTGCTGGCAAAGTCCTTGGGAAAATCGACAAGTTTACAAACTGTCAGTGTTTACACAGTGAACGAGAGCTTCATAAACTGCAGACAACTGGAACTCTCTGACCAAGGTACAGATATAAGATGGTGAGAAATCCCTGTGTACTCCTCAACACAACCCTGGCCCTTTAGGGAATGCAGGTGTTCTGTGCAGGGAAGTTCCCATGACTGTGAGATAAGATGTGTTGACGACCAGGATTTTCACATTTTCCATCCTGACTGCTTTAGCGAACTCCTATCTTAAACACATGTGCCTAGCTCCATCTCCATGGAGATGGCTTTTTTAACCGACTAGGACATTCCACTTGTGGCTCACACCCTCTGGGGCACACCAATGAGCTCCATTTTCCACACCTGCAGCCAAGGAGTACTGTGGGTCACAAACCAACCAAATCAAATAGGTTTGAAACTGGGAGAGAAGAACGCTTCTCAGCTTCATCTCAGCGGGAGAAACGGGTAGAAAATGCGGCTCAGGCCCAAACAGCCTTTGGCGTGAGGGTCCTAGAAAGGAAGGGGAAGGTCCTCAGGCCCCCAGAAGTAATGGAAGTGTCTGATTCACAGCTCTGAGTTCAGATTCTGCTGGGGACTAGCCTGGAACCGTCCTGTACCCCAGTAGGGCTAGCCTAGAACCTCAATGTGAAGCCTGGCATGCTTTACCCTAAGCTACCTGGAGTATGGGAAGAAAACCACATTTCCAGACACCAGGGAACAAGACATTCTCTGTCCCAGAGTAGAATGAATCAAATTTAGTGCTGGGGACCTGAGTGACATTGCTAATAACAAAGGAATAATAACAATAATAATGAATATAACATGTTATGCTTGTGCTGGGCTGTGCAAACAAGTTTACTGAATGAAATCTCATCCTTTGCCTCAACTTATTCTCCCACAACCCTGTGGCAGGCCAGGAAGAGATCCTTACTTAGAACACAGGCTTCGGGGGCCAGGACTTCTTTATTTTTTATTTTCTTTTTTTGAGACAGAGTCTCACTCTGTCACTCAGGCTAGAGTGCAGTGGTGTGATCCTGGCTCAATGCAACCTCCACCTTCCGGGTTCAAGTGATTCTCCTGCCTCAACCTCCGAGTAGCTGGGACTACTGGCGCACACCGCCACCCCTGGCTAATTTTTGTATTTTTAGTAGAGATGAAGTTTTACTATATTAGTCAGGCTGGTCTTGAACTCCTGACCTCAGGTGATCCACCTGCCTCGGACTCCCAAAGTGCTGGGATTACAGGCCTGAGCCACCATGCCCGGCCAGGGCGTCTTTAAATGTCAGACATAATTTTAAACACATGAACATATGCCCATTTTTTCTGGGAGACAGTCCATGGTTTTTTTATCTGTTCTCAAAGGACTCCGTGACTTAAAGTTAAGAACCACAGGCCGAGTGCAGTGGCTCATGCCTGTAATCCCCGTACTTTGGGAGGCCAAGGCGGGAGGATCATGAGGTCAGGAGTTCGAGACCAGTCTGACCAACATGGTGAAACCCTGTCTCTACTAAAAATACAAAAATTAGCCGGGCACGGTGGTGCCTGCCTATAATTCCAGCTACTCGGGAGGCTGAGACAGGAGAATGGCGTGAGCCCGGGAGGCAGGGGTTGCAGTGAGCTGAGATCATGCCACTGCACTCCATCCTGGGCGACAGAGCGAGACTTTGTCTCAAAAAAAAAAAAAAGAACCACAGTCCCTTGTGAGGACAAGGGCTATGTCTCATTTGTGTTCTGGCACACAGCAGGGGTGAATGGATGAGCCAAGCCCATTTTACAAGGAAGGCAGCCAAATTCACATTAGAATTTAATCAGAAATATCTGTAAAAACATAAGAAGAGAAACCATATATTTCCTAAAAATCTTAATTGAACTTTAGGTACTTAGAACACAGAGGCTGTTTGGCCAGGCGTGGTGGTTCATGCCTATACTCCCAGCACTTACAGCTCCAAGGGGCTTACAGTCCTCTGAATCTAAGCCCAGGGCTTGTGTACTGCAAGCTGCTGCGTCTGCTAAACTCCCCCAACTTGGCAGCTGTGCAGCTGGGAGGGAAGAAAGGCCTTTCTTCCTTTGCTTGGAAGAAGGGAGCAGAAGCAATGGTGAGAGGAAGCCTGGGGGGAACCTGGTGGTCATGCTGGGCTGATGTGTTCAGGGCTCCTGTGCCTTCTCCACTATTCCTGGCACAGACAGCTGGCATCATGGCCACAGTAGGGGGCTGAGGCACTGGGGGGCCCCTCAGGCTGAGAACCGGGCTGGAACAAACCAAATTATAATGCACAAACAACATCACCTGCAGCCTCCTGGCCTCAGAGCAGGAAAATAATGCCAGATGGTATCTAACAGCAGCTGCTGATCTCCATCCGGGCCCATGCAGCACCACTCAGCCTCAGGCCAGTTTCTCTGGGAGCTGAAGGGCAGTCAGCACCAGCAGGCCAGGCTCCCCTGACCCTCACTGCAGGCCCTAGCATGGCTTGCATCTCTGCCTGGGACACCCAGTGGCCTGGAAATGCTCACCCATCATTAGACTCGCCTTCCCTGACTTCCCACCCCTGGCTCCCACGGCCCGCTGCTTTTGCCCAAAGCACTCAGCAATGAGACGGGGTTGTTTCTAGCTGGTGTCCCCCACTAGCCTGGAAGCACATGAAGTGCAAGGTCCCAAGGCGGCCCCATATACACCTGTCAGATGGAGGAGGGAAAAGGGCAGGGACCTAGTGTTCTTCCTGAAAGTAGAAGGAATGGACAGGTCGGATTTGGCTGGTCAGAAGGTAAGGAAGGAGGGAGAAGACACTCTGGGGGAGCCCCCCCGCCAGCAGGGAAGCAAGACCTAGCCACGCATTCCTGGGTGATGTCAAGAAACGGGAAGATCAGTGGTGGCCACTCTGCTGATCCCTCTGCAATGCCAGCTGATGCTCTGGAAAGAAGGAACCAGCAGCCTATTCCCTCCAGACCCTCAAGGACCAAGCAGCTGCCAGAGGGCAGCCTTTGGCAGAGGCTGAGCCCCTGGACGTCGGGCTTCTCCAGTGGACGTCCGGCTTCTCCAATGGGTGACAGAGAGCATCGCAGATCTAATGCCCTGTTGTACAGTGAGCCAATCTGAGTCATTTGGCTGGCTCTTCTGCCACTTAGGAGCCTCTGGACCTTGATCTGGCTCAGGAAAGGGAAGAGTAATGACGGAATTCACACCACACATTTAGTAAGTGCTCACTGTAACCAGGTTCGAGGCTTTTGGTGCTGGAGAGACTGGAAAGGCGCTGTCGATGTAAGCTGGTGTGGTCATGACCCCGAGTCTCCCAGTAAACACTATTAATTACAGAGAAGCAGCCTGGTGTCGGCCAGGCACCTATTTTGGAGTCACTTACTACCTGTGTGCCCTTCAGCAGGTAACTTGACCTCTCTGAGCATCAGTTTTCCCATCTGTGGACTGGGCATAACCACCATCCTTCCTTTGTCACGTAGTTTCAAGGACTAGATGAAATGAGTATAAAAGCCGCCAGCCCAGGGCCCTGACTGAAGCCTGGTGGCCATCCCAGCCTCCCTAGCAGCCACTGCTCAAGTTACCTGCAGCTCGGCCGCCGTCACTTTGTGGTAGATGAGCTCCTCGTCGCGGCGCTTCTCCTGTGGGATGGTGATGTTGGCCAGTGCCGTCTCAAAGTCCAAGATCTGCTGCATCTGGGGCCGGATGGCCTCCTCGTCCCCGCCGCCCAGCAGCTTCCCCAGCTGGACCATGTAGTTCAGATATCCGGTCAGCACCTGCAGGGCCCATACCCCAAACTGTCAGTGGCTGCCCCCCACTATCCACTGGACAAGGGTTGGGGGGGCTTGGCCAACTGAGTCTGGCACAGGGAGCCAGGGGACTGCATAGTGCCCCCAAGACACCCGTGGGGCCAGGTGTGGTGGCTCACACCTGTAATCCCAGCACTTTGGGAGGCTGAGGTGGGTGGATCACCTGAGGTCAGGAGTTTGAGACCAACCTGGCCAACATGGCGAAACCCCATCTCTACTAAAAATACAAAAATTAGCTGGGCATAGTGGTGGGCGCCTATAATCCCAGCTACTCAGGAGGCTGAGGCAGGAGAATCAATCGCTTGAACCCAGGAGGAGGAGGTTGCAGTGAGCCCAGATCATGCCACGGCACTCCAGCCTGGGCGGCAGAAACTTCGTCTCAAAAAAAAAAAAAAAAAAGGAATAAAGACACCGTGGGAGACACAGCGTTCAGAATGATCTTGGGACCGTGTCTCTCCGCTGCTTCCCTACAGCCTCCAGGAGAAAGCCCAAAGTCTTGGCTAATCTCACAGGTCCCCACCTGGGCTGGTCCCTGCCTTAAAGGGCTTGTCCTGGGGCTGTCATTCCATTCTTAGAATGTACCTTTTCTGACCACCCTCCACCCGTGTTCCAGGATCTGAATTAGGTCCCCACGGTAGACTTTCTCAGCTCCCCTTTCCCTTAGTTAAATAATACCTGCCTCCCCGACCAAACCACAGGCCCCACGGGACGAAGGCTATGGTGGTCTTGTCTGCCACCATCTCCCCAGCATCAGGCACTCTGTGGGTGCTTGATCAAGTACATGCAGGCAGAAGAATGAAAGGACAGATGAGTGAGTTCCAGGCGAGATCGCCCCAAGAGCACCACAAGAGGCAGGCCAGGGCAGGGAGAGCCGTGGGCTTCGGAGCACGTGGATCCGGATGTGAATCTCAAGCTCGTCATTTACTGGCTATGTGACCTTGAGCAGATCACTTAGCGTCTCTGAGCCTGATTCCCTCTTCTGTAAAAGGCCAGACAAAACTAATTCCTGTTGGACAGATGAGGCAAATGAAGCTCAGGATCCGCAGGATTAGTGGGAGGGTCACAGGTGATGTACAAAGGACCAGGCGCCCACAATGCGGGCAGCTGTTATTGCTGCCTCTGCCTCTCTCTAGAACCAGGACAAATGATACCTGTCTCTTGCCCCTTGTGTCCACAATGCCTGAGTGACAGCCAGCCTAGGGGTGTTCCTCCCCTGCCAGGGTCTGCCTGTTTCACCCATCACATCACTGACACCCCGGGCTCCCCTAGACACTGAGCAGGAAGGACCATCCTGGGAGGCGGGCTGGGGAGGGGAGAGGTACGCTTACCTTCTCATTTTCAGTTTTGTTCAGGTAATAGTCTCTCGAGGGCAAGCCCAGGCCAGACTGGTCCACCTGATGGGAGAAGCAAGCATGAGAGGGAATTCGTGTTGCAATGCGTGTCTCCACTGCATGGCCTCCTGCCCTGAGAATGGCTGGTACATGGCAGCAGAGACCCAGCTCAGGCCCCTGCAGAAGCAGGACTGCTGGCTACAGTCACTGAGAAGCCCACTCAGGGATGGGATGACACATTCCTCCCTGTACACGCGGCCCCCCGCAGGGCTCCTGGGCTCCTCAGAAGGGCTGGACAGAGCCACCCTCCCTTTTTAAACACCTCCTCGCCTCAGCAAAGTGCCTCTACCTCCCCAACACTTTCCAAGTGGTTAAGGGTCACTTAAAAGCTGTGTGATCTTGGCCAAGTTACTGAACCCTTCTGATTCTCAGGTTCCTTATCAGGAAAATAGGGAAAATAAAACCTAACCTTCAGAGCTGGAATGGGGATTCAAGAAGACAGTGCTCGTCAAGTGCCTGCCAAGCAGGACGGGAGGGTCGATTTCTGCTTGCTACTATTGGCGCCCATGGCCACATCTTGGCATACCTAGGATGGGTGTTTCTGCAATCCATTTGATTTATAGGGTAACTGTAGCTGTGAGAGGTTAAGGCACTTGCCCATGGTCACCCAGTGAGTGAATGGTAGAGATGGGCTGGGAACTCAGTCTTTAGGATCCCCAGCCTGGGTTTCTCACTTCTGCATCGGAGGTTGGGGCAGACCAGTGTTGGAGCTCCCCTGGGCAAGCTAACCCTCTGTCTGGGGCATGCTCTGACAGGGAGAGATGGATTCAAAACCATTCCAAGAAGAGTCACAAACAGCAGACGCTAAGGAGGGGGAAACCAGGATGTGTGTTCAGCTGTGTCCAGGAGTTGACAATCGCCCTTGGGGTCCACGGAAACTCATCAGCACCCGAAGGTTCACCTCTATGCAGTGCCCATCTACGCAAAGCCAGCAGCCTGCAAAGATCTCACCAATGAGGCCGGGCGTGGTGGCTCACGCCTGTAATCCCAGCACTTTGGGAGGCCGAGGCACGTGGATCATGAGGTCAGGAGATCGAGACCATCCTTGCTAACACAGTGAAACCCCGTCTCTACTAAAAAATACAAAAAAAATTAGCCGGGTGTGGTGGCGGGTACCTGTAGTCCCAGCTACCCAGCTACTCAGAGGCTGAGGCAGGAGAATAGCATGAACCCAGGAGGCAGACCTTGCAGTGAGCAGAGATCGTGCCACTGTACTCCAGCCTGGACGACAGAGCGAGACTCTGTCTCAAAAAAAAAAAAAAAGAGATCTCACCAATGGGGCCTCTGGAAATAACCCAGGCTCAGAAACTAGAAGACTGCCCTCCCACCCAGTGCAAGTCTCTCTCCTACGCCAGGGCCCACTAAACTCAAAACAGGAAGAGGTCGTGCTCACACCCCCAACCGCCGTTTCAAGCTAGCTCACCTGGATCACGTTGCTGTTGGAGTTCTTGGAATCGGCACTGACGTAGACAGAGAAGAAGGGTGAGGTGCGGTAGTGGGCAGTGACCACCTGCAGGGTGTCCTGGAAGTTGTCCTTGGCCCAGGGACCTGTGATGTTCCAGCCCCCAAGCTGTGGGGAGGGAGAGCAGGCAGGGAGGTGATGAGGTGGCGGGGACACCCAGACGTGAATTCTGGTTCTGCAGCTGACTTGCTCTGTGGCCCTGCAGCAGTCACCTGACCTTTCTGAGCCTCAAGAGCAAAGGAAAGGATTGGTCTTCACTGGGGGTTTCCGACCCATGGGCTGGAGACCCACGGATGGAGCAAAGGCTTATCCTAGACAAGCCAGGCATGAATCCAGCCGCTCCCTAGGTGGCTGGGAAGAGAATGGGAAAGAGACTTTTCCTGGTTCACAGTTTATATTTTGGATAATGAATTGTGTGAATGTGATGATATCAAAACATAAATTCAACCGTGCCTCTGGGGGAAAAAAAAGGCTCCACATGTTTAAGAAGGTTGGTAAACTATGGTCTACTTTAGTCTCAAAGTTGGGATTTAAAAAAATTTTTTTTTGAGATGGAGTCTCACTGTTTCCCAGGCTGGAGTGCAGTGGGGCCATCACAGCTCACTGCAGCCTCCACCTCCTGGGCTCAGGCCATCCTCTCACCTCAGCCTCCCAAGTAGCTATGACTACAGGTGTGTATCACCACACCTGGCTAATTTTTAACTTTTTTTGGAGAGATGGGGTCTTGCTATGTTGCCCAACTGGTCTTAAACTCCTGGCTTCAAGTGATCCTCCCACCTCAGCCTCCCGAGAAAGTTGGGATTTTAAAAAAATCTCCCTGGTCTTCCCTGGTTTGGCCCATGGGACCTGTCCAGAAAGGAGGGGACTAGTACAGTCCCCAGCGTGTGCAGCCACCAACCCTGCTGCAATGCTTTCCTGGAGCCAAGCTAAGAGGCGAGGTCCAGGGAACACGAGGCAGGCAGAAAACATCCACGGACACCTTCTGTCTGCACCGGGGAGTCTCGGAGTCCGGGAGGTGCCCAAGAAAGCAGGAAAGATGTCTTCGCCTGCTCAGGAGTAAGCAGGTATAGGAGAGTGGCCTGGGTCCCTGCTCACAGCGAGGGCTCTGGTTCTGGGCCAAGACTCTCTGTGGGTCTTTCTGGAACAGGCACACACCCCTCCACACACACACACATAACCCCTGAGGAAAAAGCAGCAGCAACGTGGAGGAATATTTTCCCTCTAAACATGGCCCCTGTCCCACACACAGATGCACAGAGAGACACAAAGACAGATGACAGACATCCACAACAGATGCTGACACACACCCTCACACAGACACATGCACAGACATCCCACCCACGCACCTACGCAATGTGCTCACACTCACACGCGCTCTCTCTGTCTTTCTCTCGGTGCTACCGGCTGGAGGTATGAGGTGGGCCAGTGGTACCAGAGGACTGGAGTGGAAGCCAGGGGGCGGGTAGGTGGCATGGGCCAGGGCTGGGGAGGGAGAGCCCGAGGGACTCACCCTCTCAATCAACTCCATTAGAGGTTTGGCCCTGAGCTCCTCGATCCTGGTCTCGTTCATGCACGCACGGTAGTACACTTGCGCCTTTCTCTCTGCCTCGCTCACGCTGGCCGTGGAGTTTTCTGGAACAACACACAGTGGAGTTTACAATGTGGCCCCACTTGCCCACTGGGTGGCTTCAGGGCAGTCCCTCTTTTCAGAGCCTTGGTGTTCTCAGCTGCAAAGGAGCTCTGACATCCTCCTGTCGGGGTGGTGGTGAGGAATGCCGTCACCACGGGTACATGAGGGCCCCTGGGCACAGCCTGGCAAGCTGGAGGTGCTCCCGAAATTTTGCTGACTGTAAAGAAAAAGAGTCTACCGTGTTTCTCTCCCTCTGCCGGTCGGGTTCACAGATGTGTCCCCGCGTTGACCGCACGTGCCCACCAGCAGGACAGTGTGCTTCCCCTGCGGATAATGTGTGGTACAAACACCCCTGCCCGGTGCATGGGACAGAGGCCAATCCTGGTTTTCTGATACCAGATGACCTTTCTTGTGATAAAGACTGAAGTTGGATGGAAACTCAAAAGGCTCATTCATTTTGAATTTACTTTTCGCTTCCTCCTTGGAGGGGCTGGGCACGTTCACCAGGCTTACAGCCAAGTCCTGGGGCCGTTTTCCACCACCCTTGCCAACTCCAGCAAGCAGCATCTCCCTTCTGCAGTGGCTTCTCAGACCTTACCCCAGACACCCCGGAGATTCCGTTCCCTTCTCCCTCACCTCAGTGTCCTGGTCCAGATGCCACCTGCTGAAGGCAACGCTCTGGTGGGTGCACCTGGTGAAGATGACCACTTCCTGATGCTCAAGTCCACCAGAGACACACTAAACACTGGGGCTCTGTGCCCGAGCCTTCTTCTCAGAGCCCTGCTCCAGACCATGCTGGATTCTCCAACCCCCTCAATTCCATCTGTCCCTCTTGCCTCCTCTGGGACACTCTTCACTGCTCCCTCATTTCATGTTCATTTCTCTCTGACCCTGAAGCCCCTTCCTTTGCCTCCTTCAAGGATCCCTCAAAGCCCAGCTCCTTCACAAAGACTTTCCTGGCAGAACTGTCTCCATCCACCCGCTGCCCAGATACTAGATGTTTACTCTATGTTAGACCCTGTGCAAGCTGTGAGACACAAGAGAAACCATCTCTGTCCCCAAAGAGCTTCTGTATGGCACCCTGTTAAATTCCTACTCAACCTCAAGGCCTCCATGGGGACATCTTTTCAATGAGGCCTCTCCTAAGATGTTCATTCCCAGAGGCCCTCACCGCTCTGCGTACCTGTGTCCACCATTAGACTGTGAGCTCCCTGGGGCAGAAAGTAGGTCTTATTTATGCCTGTAAAATTGAGAGCCCAGCCCTGTGCCTGGCACCCAGCAGAAACTCAAAGAAATGACCACAAGACACAACAGTGCTGTGAACAACGCACATGGCTATGGAACACAGAGGAAAGTCACTCCCTTCGGAGGGGTGGGGAGAAGGGGGTCTCCAGAGGGCGTTCCATTTGAGCTGGCTCTGAAAGTTGAAGTGGTTCACCAGGTGGAAGGCAGGGGAGAGGGCACTGGGTTGCGCAGAGCAGGACAGGACAGTGTGGGGACAAGTAGGGATGCCTAAAAGGGCAGGCGGGCTGCTTGGAGAAAAGAAATCTGTCTGGCGCAGCCACTTGGAGCAAAGGACATGAGTCACTTCCTGGCCAGTCTTTCATCAGCTTTCCCAGCCTCACCCCGAGAGCTCCCTGCCCCCCGATTCCCACCATGAATAGTACCACGGCTTTCACTGGTCAGAGCATCAAGCCCCGGTCTTGCTGACCGGAGTGATGGCTCTGAAAGGGGGACGGGACCAGTTTGGGGCCAGTCTGAAGGAAGACACAGAGACAAGAGAGCCCCTTGAGAGACAGGGTCAGGGGCCTGAAAGAGGGGCTATGGAGGGTTCACACGGCCCTGGAGACCACAGGCTACTGTGTTGCCAAGTGCTGGAAACATCTGCATGTCCCCCAGGCTCAGCTCGGAGAAGAGGACTCTGTGAGGGGAGGGCGGAAATGGGGAAGCTGGGATACAGAGGATCAGGGAGAGCAAAAGGGGAGTGCCTCGCCCCTCCCAGGGCCTCGTTCCTATGGCAACGCTCCCAGTGACGCTGTTGGAAGAAAAAGCAGGAGAATTGTCATTGCTCACCAGGCCTCAGATGCAGCGTCTCACCCTCTACATCTGGCTCCGGCCACAGCCCTGAAATGCCAGGGTCAGCGCTGGGGAAGGCACGCTGTGTGCTCTGGCCCATGAGCGAGCCTGGCATCTCCCTCCCCCAAGGCCACCAAGATAAGAGGCCTAAAGAAAGGCTCCCAGGAGCAGCCTGACTGTGCTAATCACAGCGAGTTCCGAGGCTCTCTTCCTAACACCTGTCCTCAAGCCACGAATCATCACCGGGAGGGAGAAGGAGTGCCTCCCTCAGTCACAGCCTCCCTTGCTCCTTTGCTGAGAGGCTGCCCCAGGCCAGGTTCAAACTCCATTCCTTTGGCTCCCCACCACCTGGGTGCCAAGCTCACTTGCTTTCCCCCATTGTTTACAAAGTTTCTTTTGCCTGGCAGCCGCCAGGCTAGGTGTGGGGGACAGTGGCCAACGTAACTGGAGGCCTGTCCACGTGAGGCACGCAGCGTGGGGAGTGAGGCAGATGGCAGCCGAGGACTCACAGCAGCATCTGATTATGCACGGGGCGAATGCTGTGAGAATATCCCAGAGGCCTTGAGCGGGAGGAGACCAGGACCGCCAAGCAAGGCCCCGAGGAAGCTTCGCTTGAGCTTCGGGCTGAAGGATGAACTCAATGTGGAGTAGAAGGAGGGGCTGTGTGTGGGCTGCCCCTCTGCCATTCCATGTCCCTGCAGCCCCAGAACAAGCCCTGGACAGGCCCCTAGCAGGCCCCTAGCAACAGGTGGTGGCTGCAAGAACAGAGCCCAGTGTCCCTTTCTGGAGAGGAAGGACACCATACCTGGAGGACGAGATGGTAATGAGGCCGGGTGCCCACCTAAGATTTCCTTTCTTTTTTCTTTCTTTCTTTTTTTTTTTTTTTTTTTGAGACACAGTCTCACTCTGTCACTAGGCTGGAGTGCAGGGGCGCAATCTCGGCTCACTGCAACCTCCGCCTCCTGGGTTCAAGCGATTCTCCTGCCTCAGCCTCCCGAGTAGCTGAAACTACAGGTGCGTGCCACCATGGCTGGCTAACTTTTGTATTTTTAGTAGAGACATGGTTTCACCATGTTGGCCAGGATGGTCTTGATCTCTTGACCTCGTGATCCGCCCACCTCAGCCTCCCAAAATGTTGGGATTACAAGTGTGAGCCACCACGCCCGGCCAAGATTTCCTTTTTTTAAAAGGATATCAGGCCGGTGGGGCAGGAGTGGACGGGATGAGGGGGCCCCGCCAGGAGTTGGCGTTCACACCCGCTCTGTGTGTGTCATCAGTATCCCCACTGCCGATGCTGGCTAGGGCATGGGCCCTGGTAGAAGGTACGGTTCCTCTTCCTCCTCCTGGTTCCAGGAACCCACGGGGACAACCCACAGCACACTCTCCTACCTCTTCTTTTTCCTCCTCACTCAGGGGGCACCCACTATCCTGCAGGCTCCAGGGGACAAGGCCCCAAGGGAGGCTGCCAGGCAGGAGGCTGTTGCAGGGGACCAGGTGAATGAAGGTGGGTGCTTGGCCAGGATGGTGGCAGAGAAGGGGGTGAGAAGTGTTTGGAGCATGAGAGAAAGGAGAGCCAAGAATGGAGCCAAGTTTCCTTGGCCTGAGTGAGAAGCTGCTGACACTGGGGAACTGCAGCCTGAGAATGAGGGGTAGGCTTAGGAAGGAGCTTCAGTGCACACAGCTACTGCCTAAAGCTCAGCTCCAGACACTCGAAGTTTGAGGCCTCTATGAGACACCTAAGGGGAGCCCTGGTCTGCGGAGTCTGTAGAGTGAGTTGTCTTGAACTCCTTTTAGTCCAAATTAGTCACTGGAATATACCAATTCCTTTCTTTTTTTTTTTGACACGGAGTCTCGCTCTGTCACCCAGGCTGGAGTGCAATGGCACGATCTCGGCTCACCGCAACCTCTGCCTCCTGGGTTCCAGTGATTCTCCTGCCTCAGCCTCCCGAGTAGCTGGGATGACAGGCAACCTCCACCATGCCTGGCTAATTTTTGTATTTTTAGTAGAGACAGGGTTTCACTGTGTTGACCAGGCTGGTCTCAAACTCCCAACCTCAGGTGATCCACCTGTCTCGGCCTCCCAAAGTGCTGGGATTACAGGTGTGAGCTGTCACACCTAGACCCAATTCCTCAAATTGGTCAGAGGGCTCTATATCATGCATCCCCAACGGGGGCAATATTGCCCCCAGGAATTTATTCTTGCAGAACAAAGCATCTTACTCTTTTTACTCTGTGTATATAGACCAAGAGCAGCAACAGACATTCAGAGTGCCTGTGGCATTAACATTTCATGGAGGGATAAAATGATAACTGCAGGTTGAGAAATGAATGCCACCCTGGGTGACAGGATCTGTGCTCCCACCTGTCTGCAGCTCCTGCCCCACACTCTTCTCCCCATGGCTGGATGGCCTCTTCTCTCCTTAACTCAAGTGTCTCCTGAGAAAACCCAACCCTTCCTGATTGCTGCAGCTACAATGGCCTCTTCCCTCTCTGGCTCCCCGCCCTACTTGATGTTTTTGAGTCCTTCTCTTTACAATCCTATCATGTATTTAGTCATTCATTTGTTTACTGTCTGTCTTCCCTGTTGGAATGTAACTTCCACAAGAAAAGCCTGTCTTATTCCTACATAATCCCCAGCCCCGAGCAATGCCTGGCACACAGAAAGTGTCTGACGCATATAATCGGTGAGTGAGTAAAGGAACGAATGACACAGAAAGATAGCACTACAGCCTGCAGGAGTGGCTGGGTTTCAAAGTGAAATGAGTGGCTCATGCCTGTAATCCTAGTACTTTGGGAGGCCAAGGTGGGCAGATCACTTGAGGTCAGGAGTTTGAGACCAACCTGGCCAACATGGTGAAACCCTGTCTCTACTGAAAGTACAAAAATTATCCGGGCGTGGTGGCGGGTGCTTGTAATTCCAGCTACT